ATTAGCTATTCCCGTTTGGAAATTATATATCACAACTACATATTCTGAGATGTGCATGGTCGCAGCTACCGTTGTACGGCCGTATAGGCGCTATTTGAAATTTATTAAAATTTACCGGAAGCACCGGTAAATTTTTATATTCCATTTTTCTCGAAAGCAGAAGTGTTTTAGTGGCTAAAAATTTGTGTGCTTATAATACATCCACAGGGGAATCCAAATATATCAAAATTGTAAAGAATCACTATCCACCCAATTTTCAAAATGTACCAAAACTTTGTATTACCTTTAAACCGGAATCACATTCCGACTATAACAGATACATTCAAGGCCATATTTTGTTTCTCTCTCAAGAATCAATCAATTTGCTGGCTTGAATTTTATATCCTCATACTACTTAATTCAAGGCTTGAATTTCATATCCTCAATTAGTTAATTCCAAAACGGTATTTCTATTTGTTGATAGTACACTTCACATTACTTGTTGAGATCTGCACCAGGTTTCATTTATGAATAAGATCTAAAAATAGTTTTACCACACAGGACAAGAAGTGGCGAGGTGTATATACATGTAGAGGTGTTGTGGACGAGTGGATAAATCGCCGGACTGTGGATCACAAGGTCCGTGGTTCAAGTCCCGCCGCAGCACTAATGTCCTTTGGCAAGACATTGATCTACATTTGCCACTCTCCACCCAGGTGTTAAATGGGTACCCGGTAGGATGCGAAAGCTAATGTGGTTGGATTAGCAAGTGTGCGCATGTAAAAATGACGCCTGGCTGGAATGCTCCCCAGGGAGTGGAGAATGTGCATACATTGTGTGCGGGTAAGCCTGAATCCAATGACCGGGGTAATAATATACTTATCTGTAAAGCGCTTTGTGAGGGCCTCTGGTCCTGAAAAGCGCTATATAAGAACGAGCTATTATTATTATTACATGTTTTTCCACACAACATAAACAACGTCAATATCCGACATCAGAATTTAGGGAGACCTTCTTTGCATGAAATCAAGCACATTTAACAAGGGACATCATATCCACTTTAATTCCCGTGTTTAATTCACTTGACATATATGAAGCAATTATGACAAGACAAGTTAGGATTGATGTTAAATAAGATCTATAAGTTCTATTCTAAACACCTAACCCCATGAAGTGTGGTTGTTCTTTCAATCATTTATTTGCCGTTGGCGGAAAATCCCGCCCACTAATAAAAGTGTTTGACCACGTGTTTTGGCAAAGAATGGCTACGCTTTTCTTCCTGAAAAGAGAAAAATTATAGGTTCATGTTACAGTTTACTCGCACGGGATATTTTATATGCCCAATCCAACATTAAAACGTGTGTTTTAAGTAAAAGTTTAATGCAAGGCCTTTCGTGACCATTTTTCAAAATCTTGCTGGCACTGAAAGGATTATGACAGACACAGCTTCAAGACCTCTCTTCTTTATTAAAGTAGTCTGCTTATAAATGAGGGCAACAAATCCTTTTTGAATAATAATTGGTGATCAGTGCTAAATGGACTTTGCCTGCAAATAACAAAGGTATACAAGAATAATGATGGCAGTAAAGTATTTGATTGTACAAATAAAATGTCATACCTTGTTTAGGTATTTTACTAGTTGGGAAGTCAATCCTCCTACAGAAATGACATTAGGTTGGAGAGGGAAAGGAATATCCACTGCGAAGTCAAAGTTGATCGAAATCAACTGCGCATCGTAGAGAACATATGCGATATCCCAGCCGAGAATGAGAATTGGAAGGAAAACATGAAGTAGCAGACATCGTAGGTAAAGAAAATGGACAAGTCCTCCGAGATGGCTGCTACCGCATTTGAGAAACGCTGGAGGAATCCCATCTCGTAAGGCAAACCGGAAGTCATCTCTTGGATATACATGTAGGCGATGGTGTCGAACGTACCATAGCGACGGGCAAGAGACGGTTTGATCCCGCTTGCACTGGTGTAGCCAGGAGGGGTGGCAAAGGGGCCATTCCCCCTATTCAGTCCCTTAAAACAAATGCATTACCTCATGCTTCATGTAGGAATTATAAACCTTCCCCTAAAAAGAAGGTACTATCGGGAAATGTATTTCATACTGAAGAAAATGACACCAAGATTATTGATTTAGGTTGAGTTTTGCTTCTATACGCTTCCTTTAGCGGAACGATGTCATCTTCGAAAATGCAAAATCGTCTCGTTTTAATTACGGTACTCACCATGATGCACCACAAGTCACTCACCACTGCAAATCAACATACTTCACCACAACTCATCACGACCAACCACAGCCAACCATTGAACATAAATCACAATTTACCACGATTCCAACACAACTCACCACAATTAAACACAAGTCATCAGAAACATCTAACTCACAACTTACCACGACCCACCACAGCTCTAAATTGGTCAGGACCGACCACAGGCCACCACGACTCACCACAGTGGCGGATCCGCCCCCCCCCCCGCCCCCTCCCCCTGGGAAAAAACGTGATTTTTAGCTTTTGGGGGATGGGGGGGGGGGTGCAAATTTTCGAGGGCCAAAACAAAAATAGTGCTCACTACCCCCCCCCCCCCCCCCCTCCCCCCACTGAGCGACTTTTCGGCCGGCGCGATTTTCAAATTTTCGGGAGCAAAAAAAAAAAAATAATAAAAATGGGCCCCCTCCCCTGAGAAATCCTGGATCCGCGCCTGACTCACCACTATACTAACAACTCATCATAACTCATAACAACCCACAACAATTCACCTCGTTTCTACAAAATAAACCACAACTCACCAGAATTCACCATGACTTACCATACTTTACCACAACTCACCACAACTCGCCACAGCTCACTACAATTTACCACGGCTAACCACACTTTGCCACGACTCATTCCAACCAGCCACGCAGAAACGGGGAAATCAATTATACGTTATATTGCATTACAAAGAAAAGAGCTTAATCGTTTCGGTAAGCAGAATCTGAGAACAGGTTCTTATTCCTTTATCCGTTTTGTCAAACTCATTTCACATATTTAAACGACAATTAAGAAAAGAACGACAGCTTTCCGTATTTCTGTTTGAAAAGACTCGGCTTTAATAACAGTCTTAACATTCTGTGTATCTGCTCTTTTGAAGGCATCAATCAATAAAAAAAGCACTATGTTCACAGGATTCGATAAAATCCTGTGCTTTAAGTTTAATGTTGCTTATTGAATAGCACTTCATCCCTTTCTTAACTCAGAGCATGTCTTGGAAACAATTCAGTATTGGTGCATTATTAAAAACAAAGTCAATGTCATAATGCGTGACAGTGTAACATAATTATTTATTACTAGTACACAAAATGTGGCGCACGTTTGAATAGGCGAAAAAACAACCAAGCAAAAGCAAATTAACATACAGAAATCACGTTCGTTCTTACCTTGCCGAGGTCTGCTCGACATAAAATGATAATTTTAATTTTTAGCTAGTAACATGAAATATCCTAATACAAGATGGAATGCATTATGAATAAACAGATACAACACAAAATCAAACAATAACAAATACATAATATTAAAATAAGTAAATGTAATAACACCTTCACTTACTCCAACATCCACATACAACCGTAATTCTGTTATTCCTGTACTTCAACACACCTTCAACGATATTTTGTATCAATCGAATTCATTGGCATATGTCATAAGTACGTGTTATTTCCTTAAATTAAAAAACAAACATTTTATTTCAGTTTAAGTGTTCGTTCTGGAAGAGAGATGACATCACATACTCTGGTAATGACATTTAGAACATCCGGCCCATGAGCTAAGAATACAACTCAAAATCATTCATGCACCGAATCTAGTGCAGTTTGTTTACATGCTGAACATCAATACGAGACTTGCATACATAATCAGGGGCGGACTGGGACTAAAGTTCGACCCCGGAATGTCCGAGAGGCCGGTCGAATCGACCTAAAATACCAGCGTTTCCAAATTATTCACATGCCCATATATAATATGCTAAGCCTGGGAGCGCTGGGGAGAGGGGGAGGGGGGGGGGGGGTAGTCTTCAAATAGTCTTGAGAGCCTGTATCGAAATAGTCAAACAAGCCATCCGAGCACACAGGATGTGACCCGAGTTATCAGCCAAAGCATAGCCGTCGGATATAGCCCCTAGAGCCCCCCCCCCCGAAACAGAAACAAGTTAAGTCGATTCTACCCCCATCTAACCTATGAACCAAATTTTGTTAACAAAATTTGTATTACCATACCAATATTCAAATTGAGATGGGATGGGATCGTCAGATGCCCCTAAAAATTGGGGTCCAATTTCAAGTGTGATACTGAGCAGCTCTTTATACTTCACACGACCAGTCCGCCCCTGTTTATATTTATCATTTTTATTATACATTCATCGATATTTCTGTGCATATATTAACATCATTCTATACTGGAGGTCTCAATTTTGTGCAAACGTCATAGACAGCGGTTAAAAAGCTTTATTTTCATGACTTTAGGTTATTTATATGAGGATCAAGTAGGCAATGTTTCATCACTGCGTGATGTTCTTGAACAATAACGTCCACCCCAAAACAGGTGTAGTAGACTCGTCATCATTGAACTAGTAACGCTTGGAAGTCATATTAAAGGGATCGTTTAACAATGTTAAATCTGAGATGCACGGCCCTACGTGTTATCAGTGTCTGTGATATGATGTAATATTGAAGCCCTAAAAAAATTGCGCTTCAAAATGATCAAGAAGTGCCTCAAAAAAGTAAAAATCTTTGAGTGACCGGTTTTACCATACTCGTTTTCCCCAATAGACTGTAGTGTTTATGAAAACCGTCAGGCGAACGGTTTTCAAAATTTGTAATTCCAATCATAAATATCTTGATAATCAGACAGGCGATCGGCTTGTAAAAGTCACGGGGTTCCTGACTGACCTAAAGGTTTATAATTATCATTGCATCATGAGCTAAATCCAGAATATGTTTTCAGAATCTGAGACAAAGTTACCGGGTCCCTTTAAGTATTGGTGTACAACTACCTTAGAAAAAATACATCAAGCACGGTAATAATCCATAAGAGCATAACTTTGGTGTTTCGAAAGACGCCCAAAGAGAAAGAGATGGGGGGGGGGGGAGGGAGAGAGAGAGAGAGAGAAAGAGAGAGGGGAGAAAGAGAAAGAGAAGCTATTTAAATATCAAACTTTTCCGTTGTTCCGAGGCCCGCGTGTTCCCCAGAAACGCATCCCCACATTACCGCTCATGTTGAGTCGGAATCTGAGACCGGGACAAAGCTTCCGGAGCGGATAACCGACGATGAGACAGCAACCGCTCGATAGAATGCGATGATACTGCCGGATATACATGAACTTGAGAACCCGGTAGCACAGATAGACTATGAGGAGGAGAAAGGCGTAGACGTCGAGGGACCAGACCTGCCAGAAGTAGAGCTCAGTCCGAGATGTGCGGAGGTAGTCGCCGCCGTACTTGAGGACGTGCTCGATCCAGAATACAGCTCTCTCCATGGGAAGCTGCGGATTGGCCTTGAAGATGGACGACCATCGAAGTACGTTCTCCTTGTAGCTGTGGAACAATATTAGATAGATCAAAAACATAGTGATTAAATCTTGATTCGTCAAGCCTTATAAAGGATGCATCCTTGTCCGGGTAGTCATCCCTGTCCGATGCTTTTCATTTGATACATGAACTGATGGTTTGATTATTACACGTCGATATAAATTAACATTTGTGTTGTTCGTTGTAACTACAGATAAAATAGTTTAGTCACCTACAAAGTGGTGAAAGGATAAATCCTACAGAATTCTTTGTTCTTGTCAACAAAACGATAATTCGTCCCTATTTTCACGAAGTGCCGGATGAGCGCGCAATTAAAAGAAAGTTAGCCGTACTAAGCCGTCACTTCGTGAAAACAGGAAATCCTTTTACTAGGTATTTTCTTGTTTACGTCATCGTCATAGTGACATAATAAGAAATTATTGTGATTCGAAATGTTGTGAGGTTTAAGATGTTAGTGAATGATGTCCAACAACAAAAAAACTGAAATTATATGCAATTTTCCTCATTACCGTCACTTCGTGAAAAAAGGGACGAATTGATCCCTCCCCCCTCCCGGAAAATTGCTATTACTAATCAGTGGCAGATCCAGGAATTTCTCCGGGGGGGGGGGGCACAAAACCGCATGGGGTGAAATATATGAAAAACGATGGAGCAAGGCGTCAGCGGCGGGGGAGCGGGGGTAGGTCTGGGCAAGGGGCGTCACCTTAACATTTACTTTCAAAGTTATACCACGTTATCAGTGGCGGATTCAGGGTAGTCTGCAAGCACAAACCCTGGTCAGTCGTAAATGTGAGTCTGCATTATACGACTACCATAGGCCATGTAATTAGCTGGGCTAGGCTTCTCTCAAGGCACAATGATTTGTTGATAAAGTGTCAAATTAGAGTCTGTGCTTGCAGACCAGATTCAGGGGGGGGGGTTATGTTGCTACACACACCAGGGCCGTAGCCAGAGTTTGCTGTTTGAGGGCACATACATGTTGGAAATGGAAATAAACGAAATGAAACGAAAATGAAATGTAATTGATCGAGGGGTCTACAAAATTTCAACCGATCTTGGATTTTTTTGGGGGGCAACCCCCCGTGCAACCCCCCCCCCCCCCCCCCCCGTGGCTACCGGGCTGACACACACACTCTCTCTCTCTCTCTAATTATTCTGTTTCACGGCGTGTACTTCTATTGGTGACCGGTTCGGTTGTCTTTTTTAATCTTTGACGTTTCATTCAATATTATTGGATAAAGAAGACGACTCGTCATACTGTTTTCTACTCTTTAATAATCCTTGTCTGAATTCAGTTTCGACGTTTCATTTAATTATTAGAGAAAGAAGACGATTTGTTGTACTGTTTTCGACTCTTAATCCTTGTCTGAATTCAGTTTCCCTCTCCCACGAGAAGCTTTGAATTTTTATTAAATTATTAGAGAAAGAAGACGATTCGTTGTACCGACTCTTAATCATGTCTGAATTATCAGAAATGTCTTTTTGTCCGATAAAAAGTCACAGTTCGTAGGAAAAATATTTTCCCTCTTCTCTCAGGCTCTTACCCCCTTCTCTCTCTCCTCTCTTCATCCTCCGTTTCTTTTGTTTCCCCTTTCTCTTCTTTGTTTTCCTTTTCTCCTTTTATTTCTTCTATTCTATTTCCTTTCTTTCCTTTCTTTTCCTTTTCTTTTTAAAATTGTATTGTCCTTTTCCTCTTATTTTTTTCTCCTCCCCCTTTTCTCATTTTCCTCGACAGCAGCGCAATTTTACAACCAATATCCTGACAGGTGGGGGGGGGGTGTCGCACCCCACCGCCCTCTTTTAGGGACACCCCTGGTTGTTATCTCATTATTATTTTAAAAGAAATGCAATTCCTCTTGCTCTCGCACTTCTCTTCTATTGTTGTTTAATTTATTTTTCATTTGTTTTCCTTTCTCCTTTAACTTAAATTTTTTTCTCTCTTCCCTCCCCCCTTTTCCATCTCTGTTTTTGTTGTTCTTCTTGTGCCTTTTTTTTGGGGGGGGGGGGGGAAGGGCTACACGCCTGGCAAGAGGGACCCCATATTATGCACACTACAAAATTGCGTGCCCCCCGCCCCTTTCCCGGTAAAAAAAACACCTTTTTATAATATCATCCCCCTTTCTTTCTTTTCCTTTTTCATTATTCTCCTTTTCCTCCTTTTCTCTCCTACGTCTTTCCCCCTTTCTTCCTTTCCCCCTTTTCTCTCCTCTCTCTTCCCCTTTCTTCATCCCTTTTCTCCTCTCCCCTTTTCTCTCTTCCCTCTTTTCTGCTTCTTTCTCTCTTTTCTTTTCTTACTTTTTCCCTCCTTTTTCTCCTTTTTCTCCTTTTCCTCTTCCCCCTTCCCCCTTGTTACGGGGGGGGGGGGGCACGTGCCCCCTGTGCCCCCTGAATAGTAATGATAACATTCAAAATTATTTAAAAAAAGAATAGATCTGAAAATAATAACGAAAATATAAAAGGATTGTAACTCATGTGTAAAATAAACAATTGCTGGAACAGCATTATATTCGATATCGTAGTCACACGATACTTGTAATCGAGACTTTCCTCGCGTACACTTCCACATTCTCTGGCCAGGCTTTAACGACACCATTTCGGAGATGTACTTGTAGAAATATCTTTTGCGAGAGTATACAAACGGGTTATAAAAGAAGATGGGGGAGAGGCCTCTTCCCATGTTTATTTCCTCAGGGGAAGAGGAGAACGAAGGTAAATGTAAATGATCTACTAGAGCTGTTTTTTCTATTTGTCCTATGTTGCGGGTTGATTTACTGTACTTCGCTCGTGAAGATACGTATAGGCATAAGTAGTGGGAGTTACGAGAAACAACTTCAATAAATCAGCTAATGGTTGAGAGAGGTGAATCATTGACGTAGCTACTAGCTACAGGGGTACAAGGGTATGCCCCCTCTTCAGATCAAATAGCGAAACAAATAGAGAAATAAATAGCGAAACAAACACGACAAAATAAATACTTGGGAAGCTCTCTCGACTAAACGCTTTCTTTTGTTAACAAATGTGGACAATTTCCATTTATATTTATTGGAGCTCATCCAGAACCAAACCTGAACAGTCTCTTTCAAGTTGTAACTATGTATTATTTTATATGAAATGGCATGATTTCTTATTCCATATTCAATGATTGGTTGTGTTTTAATTTATATTTAAAAAAAAGGGGGGGGGGGACAAAGGAACGTAGAGAAAAGGTGTGTAGGTCATCCTACTGTGATCGCTGACTTGTAAATGCATAGTTCATCCACCAAGTAAGGCCGCAACCCCCATCCCCATGGTGCCAAGTGCCCCCTCACCCTCTATGCGGCTTGAGCCACGCTCTGCCAATGTCATGACTGTGGTGAATGAAAGCGGTAATAAAGTAACAACTCAGATTCTGCATTGAATCCGGCTAGCTTTTTAGAGGGGTTGTGGTATAATGTGTTATTCGCTTAACTTCCCAGCTCGTGACTCACGGCCTTTTGGCAAGACATGATTCGACAAATGCCACTTTTCACTTAGGTGTACATGTTCCAGTATACTTCATACAAAGAATTATGAAATAAATTAATATATCCCTTGTTGTAATCGACTTGTATGCTTAATTATTATCATGGTGTTATTATCTGGACAATTATTATTATTGTTTTAGTTAATAAACGAATGATGTATAAGAAAATAAATAGTTGGATACTATAATTAATTGAAAGAAGAAAAAAATATATGGAAAAAAATTAAAAACAAGCTTGAACATTGTCTATCGTTGTTATCATTATTACTATTAATATTATAACTATTCTTGTGATAGTATTATTATTATTATGGTTATTATTAACATTTCAAAATATTTATGTCGTTAACATTATTACTATCATTATTACTATTACTTTCATTAATACTAGTATTTTACTATAATTATTATCACTATCATCGTATCAGTCTCTCCTCTCTAACCTCGAATTATTGATGACATCGTTGATGGCTTTCGTTAACTCTTCGCTGGTGAACGAGAAGAAGTTGACTGCGATGCCCATCCCGCGGTCGACGATCCGGACGGCGACGTCGGGATGGTCGAAGATGAGCGGCAAGACCACCATAGGTACCCCGTGGTAGAGGGCCTCGTACATGCCGTTGTTGCCGCCGTGGAAGACCAGTGCCTTTAGTCTGGGGTCACCTGTGGTTGTGAGGCGGTCACGGAGAGATTCAAACACAAAATAAATATGTTATATAGGCTTACCTCTCTTTAGAAATCTAGCCATCTGATTGGTCTACAGTGATTTTAGCCATTCTCGTAAAGAAAAGAACAATGCCAGTAATGGTCAATAGTTCATGAATGAGATTCCCGCAAGATTCCGGGTACCGGGAAAATAGTTAAATTTTGCTGCGATCCCTATTGGTTTACGTGTTAAAATTATCTGTGCTAGCGCGGATGCCTTACAGTGCTTTTTGTCTGCGATTCCGAAATGATTCGGTAACATTCAGTCATCTTTCTAGCGAAGATTGACAGACAGTGTCTCAAATTTTCCGTGATGTTTTAACCAATCTTTACTAAAGAAAAGGATAAGGTAAGAATTCTTGGTACGTTTTTGTGTCCATTCGGTATATAAAAGACACATCGACTGCTTTCATATTCGAGGCCTGGCTGTTGGCTCTTGAGGATGTGCACGTCCCCTTGAGCCTATAAAACAGCCAGGCCTCTCATGGCAGTCGTATCTCTATATACTGTGTTGCAAGCTACATTTAATATTTAAAGTGAAACTATGTATATATTATTGACGTAACACACATGCGTTTAGAGATACACGTATAACCGTATAGGGCACCAAGCCAGGCCTTTAAGCTCCTCACATGATCTAGCAGTTATCACGCCAAACGAAATGTCGGTGGTTGGAAAGTTGTCTTTTCAAAAGAGGATATCAATCAGGGGCCTAAATCCCGGGGGGATGGGGGGGGGGGGCTGCATCCCCCCTGGCTTGAAGTAGGGGGGATGGCCTGTACAATCATCCCCCCCTGAGATTACAAAAAAAAGAGAGAAAAAAAAGGAAGAAAAAGAAGACAAACAAATGACAGCATAATGCATGATAAATGAGGGTTTTTTTTTTAATGTATGTATAACTGTATAGCCTACACATATACAGTATGTCTTGATCATTAAGAGTAGTAACACGACGTGCGCGAACAAGCACTTCATAAACTTCAGAATAATTTTTCGTTATTTTGCAAGGTATTATTATAGCCTAGACGTAAAGTGCGCTAGCGCGCGAGCGCTTAAAGGGAAAGTCCACCCCAAAAATAAGTTTGTTTCGATAGAGGCAGAATAATAAGAAAATCAGGTGAGTGAAAGTTTGAGCAAATTCTGAATGAAAATAAGAAAGTTATGAATTATTGAAGTTGTGATCAATCAAACACAAATTGGCAACTCTATGACGTATCATGCGAGCTCAACTTTCATTTGCTCAGTACTAAAAAAATCTAAAATTTTCATTTTCCCTCAAGAAAAATTTCAACCATACATGCACCCTAAATATAATAATTGCAAATATGTTTCTATACTCCCCCTGCAAGGAACAAATATATATTCCGTCATCAATAACGAAGAAAACATGATTTTATGAAATATTATGCACAAAGCAAATGAAAGAGAGCTCGTATAATAAGTCACAGAGTTGCCAATTTGTATTTGATTGATCACAACTTCAATAATTCATAACTTTCTTATTTTCATTCAGAATTTGCTCAAACTTTCACTCACCTGATTTTCTTATTATTCTGCCTCTATCGAAACAAACTTATTTTGGGGGTGGACTTTCCCTTTAAAAAGTGCAATCATGTACAGTATATGCCCGGCTTCCCCCCCCCCCCACTCAGTGTTATTTAGGGTACGAGTATGCTCGTTCCCTCCCTTTGAAAGCACCCCCTATCTATCCCCCCCCCCCCCAGGACTGCCAACATTTCTGAATCCCCCTTTCGCCGGCTTTTTGCTGGCTTTTCCTGCCTTGGAGACCCCCCCAAAAAAAATCATATATTTATATTTTGTTGGTCCCAAAAATTTCGCAACGACTCAGCCAACCGCTGAATAAGTGGGGGGGGGGGGGGGGGGGGTTACGAGTGTGTGTGTGTGTGTGTGTGTCCCGAAATTTGAAAAATTGGCCGATCGATATTTTTGTTTTTGTGATTAAAAAAAAAGTTGAAGGGGGGGTTCAACCCCCACCCCCCTGCGTACGCGCCTGATTACTACTACTACTACTACTACTACTACTACTACTACTACTACTACTACTACTTCTACTACTACTACTACTACTACTACTATACTGCTGCTGCTACTACTACTACTACTACTACTGCTGCTGCTATTACTACTACTACTACTACTACTACTACTACTTCTACTATTATACTGTGGCTAACTTCTTCCTCCCCTCCCGTCTTCATTTCTTTCTTGAATACATAGAGATGTTTCCTTCTCTATATATATCATTATCTGTTTTCCTCTTCTCTTCATTTCTCCCTTCCGATTTCTCTTAAAAGTTCCTTTCGCAAGATACTTTTCTACGTTAATTCCTCCTGTGTTTTTTCTTTCTCAAAATACTTGATTAGCTATTGAGTATCATGTGGTCGCATCTTAATAACGATTAATGACACGTAGGCCTACTCCAGATTTTATGGTATAAATTCCTGCTATACTAAAACGAAAAAATAATAAATTTATGAAAATAAACCCATAAAAAACATTTGATGTGTAAGGGTTCATGTAACTATTATTGTTAAAATATAGATACCAAAAGGGCATAGTCTGAAGTGGATTGTAATAACCTTGACCAGGGCCTTGAATTTATCAATTATTATCATGTGGTCGTATTTGAAGAACGATTAATGACACGTACTCCAGATTTAACTGCATAAATTTCTGCTATTTTAAAGAAGAAATCCTTTTTTTAAATTTTATTATGTAAATAAACCCATAAAAACATGAGACCTGTAAGGGTTCATGTAACGGTTAATGTTGTGGAAGTAAAATGAAGTTGAATGCGCTAACTTTGACGGGCGAAATCGGTATGCAATAATCAAAATAATGGTGAATGATACAGACAGGCGCGCACGCAGGGGGGGGGGGGGGGTTGAACCCCCCCCCCCTTGGTATTTTTAATGTGTGTATTTTGGATGAAAACCCCCCCCCTTGATTTTTTTAATTGTTTAATTTTTGTTTAATTATAACAACAAAAAAATTATACCAATGGCTGACCTAAAAATGTTGACCTTACCCCCCCCCCTAACTGAGCAAAATGTCAAATTTTTCACACAAAAAAAGTGTCCTCTTATTCCTCCCCCCCCCCCCCGCGCTTATTCAGCGCTGGCTGAGTCGTTGCGAAATTTTCGGCCCGATTTAAAAATGTTAAACCCCCCCCCCCCTTCAAAAAATCCTGCGTACGCGCCTGGATACAGAACCTTAATTATTGATTCAAATGTTGATGTTTTTTGTCATTGCTATTGCAGTTTTTCCCACCCCTCCCTCCAAAACACACCCGACAAAATGAATTTACATGCAGATTGTATACGACAGGAGTTCTTCGTTAATTCTTTACCTCAAACATTAGCATATACAGTCTCTTTTATGCATTTACATTGCTGGCCACATATTGCAGTGATCCATCTCTCAAAATACTCCTTCCTCCGTCCACTCCCCCTCCCCTTTTCTGTTGCAGTGGTGATATTGTAGCAGGCACGTAGCCAGAGTTTGATGTTTTTTTTTTTTGGGGGGGGGGGCACCACAAATGTAATCGATCGAGGTAAAAAAAAGGGGTCTAAAAAGTTCAACCGATCTTGAAAAGTTAGGGGGCACGTGCCACTATCCCCCCCCCCCCCGTGGCTACGTGCCTGTATTGTAGATCAAATAAATATAAAGCTATGTCACCCAGATATAACAAAAGGTTAGTTTATAATAAAAGTAGACCGACCAAACTTAATTTTTTGTTTCAGCAAGTGAGCGATCGAAATTATCGTGGTTCATTTCAACCGCCAAGTTTAAAATCTACACCGAAAAAAGTTCCCCCAAATTAAGGTTTTGGAGAATCTTTTCCCGCCGCAACTCCTTTCATCCAGCAACGTTGGTTCTCTCATTTTTTGTCTAGGTCTGATTTACCATTACACATGCACTTGTGTATAGGCTTGACTCCGACACAGATCTATAGACTTATATAATTCCCAATATTAAAGAACAACAATAATTTTGTTCAAGCCAGCAAAGCCCATGGAGATCAATGGGGTTATACCGTGTGAGTTAAAAAAAGTTTACATCTAGAAAATTATTTCAAAAATCATCTATGAACAGTAAATTGTTATACATCTTATGTAAGAGTGCTGATATTTTTAATAATTAGCAATTTTCTAGGTGTAAACTTTTGTTTGACTCAAACTGTAGTGTGTGTCCGTACCACTGTCTATCAGGGGCGTAAATCCCGGGGGGATGGGGGGGGGGGGGGCTGCATCGTTCCCTCCTTTGAAAGCACCCCCTATCTATCCCCCCCCCCAGGACTGCCAACATTTCTGAATCCCCCTTTCGCCGGCTTTTCGCTGGCTTTTCCTGCCTTGGAGACCCCCCCCCCCCCAAATCCGCAAACACTGCTAAGTGTACCACCCCCCCCCCCCCCCCCCATTTCAGGTGAGCTCTAGTCAATCGAGGGGGACTGGGGGGCTGGGGGCCAATGTTTTTACTTTTCAAAATGAAATAATCCTGAATGAGCTTTCAAAGCTAGCAGGAGTTTCATGAATTTGATCCCGGGATTCGACCATTTTTTCTATTATATTCAAGATATTTTATAACACCCTTTTTACATTTCTCAGGAGTCCAAAGAGAGAGAGAGAGAAAAACCCACCCCCTTTTTTTAAAGACATCTCCGGGTGAAAAGTCAAATACACCCCCTTGTTTTTTACAATTCTCGGGCCGGATTATGTCGAGCGAAAAAATATCCCTTTCCTGGAGATTTTAGGAACACGCATGCGGTCCCTCCGACCCCGGAGTGTGTGGGGGGGGGGGGGGTAGATGAAGACTGAAGTTCCAGACCTGGCGTGTTCAAGACTTACAGTGGCCGCTTGTCTCTTCGGTTATTTCAAGGTAAGCCTGTACACATTCTTATTATTTTTATATTTGAAAAAGGATTTAGCTAAGGAAATTAAAGAATTCATTAGATTTAAATAATAAACACAGTACATGTATCATTATATGAATTCCAGAAACATTTTTTAAGAGGTGTGAAAACTGTGAACGCATCTGATTGAGAGTGATAAATAATACGGTAACTGTTTCATTGCCCAAGTCCTACTCGGTGGTTGTCATTTGTTCGCACCTAAAACTTAAGGGACGAGGGGATGATATTTAAGGGCTGCAATGCATGTGATGTTTGTGTAGGTCTATGAATAAATTAATTTGTTGTTTATATTGAATGAATTGAATTAAATTCAGATAAAAAGGGCTTAATAAGAGTCGAAAATGGTGCAACGAATCGTCTTCTTTCTATAATATTTAAATCAAACGTCTAAGCATTTCGTGCTTCGCGCGGGAAGGGGAAAATGAATTCAGACGAGAATTAAGAGTCTAGAACAATACACCCAATCGTCTGCTTTCTCTAATAATTTAAGGAAACGTCAAGGCTTCCGCGCTTCGCGCGAGAGGGGGAAACTGAATTCAGATAAATAGGGATTAAGAGTCGAAAACGGTGCAACGAATCGTCTTCTTTCTATATTAATTAAATCAAACGTCTAAGCTTTTCGTGCGGGAAGGGGAAACTGAATTCAGACGAGAATTAAGAGTCGAGAACAGTACACCCAATCGTCTGCTTTCTCTAATAATTTAAGGAAATGTTAAGGCTTCCGCGCTTCGATCGAGGGGGAAACTGAATTCAGATAAATAGGGCTTATCAAGAGTCGAAAACGGTGAAACGAATCGTCTTCTTTCTATATATAATAATTAAATCAATCGTCTAAGCTTTTCGCGCTTCGCGCGGGAAGGGGAAACTAAATTCAAACTAAAATTAAGAGTCGAGAACAGTACACCCAATCGTCTGCTTTCTCTAATATTTTAAGGAAACGTCAAGGCTTCCGCGCTTCGCGCGAGAGGGGAAACTGAATTCAGACTAAAATTAAGAGTCGAGAACAGTACACCTAATCGTCTGCTTTTTCTAATAATTTAAGGAAACGTCAAGACTTCCGCGCTTAGCGCGAGAGGGGGAAACTGAATTCAGATAAATAGGGCTTATTAAGAGTCGAGAACGGAACAGCGAATCGTCTGCTTTCTCTAATAATTTAATGAAACGTCAAAACTTCCGCGCTTCGCGCGGGGAGGGGAAACTGAATTCAGACTAAAATTAAGAGTCGAGAACAGTACACCTAATCGTCTGCTTTTCTAATAATTTAAGGAAACGTCAAGACTTCCGCGCTTAGCGCGAGAGGGGGAAACTGAATTCAGATAAATAGGGCTTATTAAGAGTCGAAAACGGTGCAACGAATCGTCTTCTTTCTATAATAATTAAATCAAACGTCTAAGCTTTTCGCGCTTCGCGCGGGAATGGGAAACTCAATTCAGACGAGAATCAAGAATCGAGAACAGTACACCTAATCGTCTGCTTTCTCTAATAACTAAAGGAAACGTCAAGGCTTCCGCGCTTCGCGCGAGAAACTGAGTTCGTTTGTGTGTGTGTGTGTGTGTGTTGTGTGTGTGTTGTGTGTTTGTGCGTGCGCGATTGCGCGCGCTTGCGTAAATTAGTGTGGGCGCGCGTGTGCTCGTGCTAGTATGTGATGGCTATCGCCGATCATCCCCCCACCCCTCGGTACGGATTTACGCCCCTGATATCAATAGTGACCTGTTTGAAAGAGCTGTTCCTGTCTCATGCAAGAAATTATCGACGAAATGAAAGGCTTTGGCATAGTTGTGAATAGAGTATATAATACACTTTTCGTTATTTTGGACATGATCACTTTTGTCGAAATAGTTATCCCGTTTCACCTATGAAAGATATGACCCCTTCTCTTGTTTTGTCAATCAGGTGAAGATAGTGAATAGGTGACCGAGATGATTTAGAAGTATTAAAGGGAAAGTTCACCCTGATATGATTTTTTTTTATAAAGAAAAGTAGAAAATGAGAGGAATAGGTAAGTGAAAGTTTGAGCAAAATTTAATTACAAATAAGAAAGTTAAGCTCCTCACATGATCTAGCAGTTATCACGCCAAACGAAATGTCGGTGGTTGGAAAGTTTGTCTTTTCAAAAGAGGATATCAATAGTGACCTGTTTGAAAGAGCTGTTCCTGTCTCATGCAAGAAATTGTCGACGAAATGAAAGGCTTTGGCATAGTTGTGAATAGAGTATATAATACACTGTACGTTATTTTGGACATGATCACTTTTGTCGAAATAGTTATCCCGTTTCACCTATGAAAGATATGACCCCTTCTCTTGTTTTGTCAATCAGGTGAAGATAGTGAATAGGTGACCGAGATGATTTAGAAGTATTAAAGGGAAAGTTCACCCTGATATGATTTTTTTTTTTTATAAATAAAAGTAGAAAATGAGAGGAATAGGTAAGTGAAAGTTTGAGCAAAATTTAATTACAAATAAGAAAGTTAAGCTCCTCACATGATCTAGCAGTTATCACGCCAAACGAAATGTCGGTGGTTGGAAAGTTTGTCTTTTCAAAAGAGGATATCAATAGTGACCTGTTTGAAAGAGCTGTTCCTGTCTCATGCTAGAAATTGTCGACGAAATGAAAGGCTTTGGCATAGTTGTGAATAGAGTATATAATACACTGTTCGTTATTTTGGACATGATCACTTTTGTCGAAATAGTTATCCCGTTTCACCTATGAAAGATATGACCCCTTCTCTTGTTTTGTCAATCAGGTGAAGATAGTGAATAGGTGACCGAGATGATTTAGAAGTATTAAAGGGAAAGTTCACCCTGATATGAATTTTTTTTTATAAATAAAAGTAGAAAATGAGAGGAATAGGTAAGTGAAAGTTTAAGCAAAATTTAATTACAAATAAGAAAGTTATTATCTTTTGAGCTCCCCTCCTACTTGCTAGGTACTACAAATTCAGAACAAATATATTTTTGCCATAAAGAAAATTTTCAGTCATACAATAACCCGAAATAAAATCGTTGCAAATGTGTTGTTTTATATCAAACCCCTGTATGAAAGAAATCCATCCCGTCATCAATAACTTAAATATTTTTAATCAAAATTTGCTCAAACTTTCACTCACCTGTTTCTCTCATTTTCTATAAAAAACAAATTAATATGAGGGTAGACTTGAGCAGCAAATCATTACAGTGTTCCTTTCACCTGCTGATGCAGATAGGTTGAGCATTCATTTTGGAATATTTTTTTTTATGCCTGGGCCCTGTCTTACAAAGAGTTGCAATCGATCAAAATCAATCGTAGGTCCTCCAATCAATCGCAAGTTTGCATCGCGTTTGTACATAGTTGCGATTAATATCAACTCTTTATAAAACGGGGCCCTGGTCATATAATCTCCCCTGCTAGCAAAAGTGTAGGAGGCAACATTATAGCCCGATCTCGCCGGGCAACAAGTAGTACACTCCTTTCTTGAGCATGCAGGGATATGGCTCATTCAACCTAGCCAGCTTCTTTGTCGCAGGGCTGTCGGGGAGCGGAAGCCTAGGATGCATGCAGTGCCAACAAAGCCCACTTACCTAGCAGGTCATTTTGGGGCATCCATGGCACGATTCGCGTGTTCTCGCCGACCTGTAATGACGGGGGTGGCTCTCCCTTCATTTGCCAGACCACGCGCTGGGGTACAACACTGAATGCCCGAGACAATTTCTCCATCTCGCACAATGGTAGCGTTGCAGCAGAGCCAGCATAGGTCCCCAGTGTGAATAGCACCACACCGTGTTGTCCAGAGGAAGCCATAAGTTCCTCCCATGTCTGTACATAAACAAAAAAGATAAAACACAACGAAATAGAGTTTCATTCTAAATGATAAAAAACAACTTACCGTTATGTCAACGCTTAACAGAGCCGAAGAATAACGACATTATCAATGTGGTAAATTAACACCCTGGATGTAACAGTCGAAGGGTGAATCCAGTCTTTTATAATTGTTCATCTCTCATTATGAAAAAGATGGCAATCCTCAGCCCTGTTATAATGTTGATTTGACATTTTAAGAAAAAATTGAGGACTAAATCAAATCAATCATTATTAATAAAAAAAATAATTCAACAAAGTAACATTTTAATATTATCCTTCAAAAATACTTCTAAATACACTAGTCCTTTCATACAGCTCTGAATCGTTCGAACCAGTTTTGTTTCTTCAAATTTCTTCATATTGCTGCTCATTCACTTAGTTTTAAGCTACTTTGTGTCCGTTTCCAACAAGAAACGTGTGATCAAAATGTAATCAAATTGTAATCAAATCATGCTAGAAGTATTAGAGGGGAGGGGGAAGGGGTGCCTTGAACCTGATCCCCCATCTACCTGTAGACTAATTATTTAACCGTTTGCCGATTGCCAATTTGACAATCCAGGAAATATCTCCCATGAGTGATGAGTGATCCCTGGATTATCGCCAATACCTTAAATAAATTATTTGGCAGACAAAACCAAATTTGTGATAGATTTGTGTAGTGGCTTACTTAGTACATTTTAAGCACACAATTTGTACATGTGAAGTTACTCAGGCACATGTAAATGCAGCTTTTCTTCTTCTTCTTCAAGATAATCTGCCTCCTTCAATACTGAAGATTCTTGCAGATGCCGTATACTCGGCCTGATTGGGGTGTGCAGGTGGACCATTACACCGGGGTTTCCCCCCTTCTCTTATACGAATAGTGCAATGGGTTTTTAACGTACAACGCAGACTTCAGTCATCCGCCTGGATGGGAGTCGAACCCGGGATCTTTGGTTCGACAGGCAGACGCTTTACCGACTGAGCCAACTCGCCTCCTTCCTTCAATTAACAACTAAGTTATTCATACCCCTTGTAACTTTGTTTTTTGTTTTGTGTGTGTGTGTTTTTTTTTTTCGTAACTGAAGAATAAGGGATGGACGAGTTGAATTAGGGCCTTTGTTGAATAATTTTTGATGTAGGCTTTAACAGGTCGCATTCTCAGGAAACATCAATTTTCACATACTTAAAAATTACAAAACCTGGTAATTCAGCTGTTAACTGTGTATATGAGAGAAGTTTCTTTTCCTCTGCCCATAACAATTATATTAGCGACGATAATAATGATCTTTGCAAGAACAAGGCAACATCAGTATAATTATTTAGGGTGTTTAGTATCAGTTGAAGCGAGAACGAGTTCTGTAATATGAGATCTAATGACTTATACACAATCAAAGACAAAATCCAGTATACTGCATGCCGCTCATATAACATTGCATTGTGAATGAAACTGTCTGGATCATACTTCTTGAAGATAGGTTTCTTCTAACATCTAAACGTTTTGGCAGAGTTTTGCCAGACATAGCAACAATTAATGTGTGCAAAGTGGATTCTATCTACATGTAAAGAGACGCTATTATGTAAAGCAGGTAAATTAAATTGCAATTAAGTAGCAGGGGTTATTATTGAATTACATTAATAAACAGGGATCTAGGCGTGATAGAGAATGTTGATTCTAGTACATGATAACTGACATATGCACTGTCAAGTTTTGGAATTCTAAAAATGAAACGATTTTCACCCATGCTGAAAACCACATGCTCTGCACACACACATCGTTTTTACAGGACTACTCAAACAAATGTTTGGTTAAAAAATTTCTGCTATTTCTTGTCGAAGTTTGACAATGATTCCTTTCATGAGACATTTCTAAAGCTTTTTTAAAATCAAAACTGACATACAAATAATGACACAAATCACAAATTATTAAAAATAAAAAAATCTTCTTTTTTCTCCTACGTGACGAGGTCGAGATGAGATACTCCAGAGACTATTGTTCCGTGGACATTTCCTATATTCAAGACTGCATGAACCAAACAAAGTTTCAAAAGAGGCAATTTTTTTCATTTTTCGGGACAAATTCTTTATTAAGAAACACCGTTATCGAAACAAGGTTGAATATCAGAACCGTGTAAAAATACAGACAACTGTTTTCTAGAGCAATGATTTGATTAGAGTTTTCTGACAAGAGCATAAAATATGACAGTAATTGGGGGTTATATTTGAATTATAACTGTAAAGTGTCATACAGCGAGCTAATGACGTATTTGGAGGTAGTCAAGGGGCAAATAGTCCCTCATGACAACTTTCCAAACCCCCTTCCCCTTGAAAAAAAAAATGAAAATACAGACACATTATCAAAGACCTAATTTTTCCTTTCCGTAATAATCATTTTGAACGAGACCAAGGGCTTCGTCTTATAAAACTTGATGTCAATATCAAGTTTCCATCGCAGCTCTTCATGAGACGGGGCCCATGGCTCTCAAGAAAAATGGTGTCTTAACGTCTTAACGTGTCTTAACGTCTGGATACGCCCTAATATTTATTCATTTATTTATTTCTGATATTTAGACAGGGTGACTCATTATCAACAATAATGGTGGTCTTCCATGAGGAACGATAGAATTAAAAAATACAAAATACAAAAAATGAAAACATAATAATAACAAAATCATGAACATAAACTCATAACAGCAACAAAGAATACGTAAGAACATGTAGGAACATATACAAAGTATTTGGTAGGCCTATCCTTGTAATGAATGAATGGTTTGTTTTTATTTTGCTTTGCTTTTTTCTTTTCTTCAGGAAATGTTGTTTCATGTTCATAATATCTTAATATAACATTATAGTATAGACGGTAATTAATATTAATATTCCACGATTCCACTTCATTTGCAATTCGATTATTTTCCATGGAGTCCATTGAGCCATACCATGCATGTAATTCTGATTTATTTCTGTTATTCTTTTGTGAAGTTATACAAAAAATGAAGGCTATTAAAGTAACTCCTCGATCAATCATACATCAACCATTTGGTAATTGACCAGCACCCATAGACTATCGACCTTAATTATAAGCCGCAAGTGTGAGAAAAACTACTTCAAAAATGGTCCTAAGTCCTGACCCATCTCGCCTTACCACTTGACCTTACAAATCTTGACCGATCGTCTGATACTCTATGTTGAGTTCTGGCCCCGTCTTATAGTGAGTTGTGATTAATCCAAATCAATCGCAAGTTTGTAGTCCCCTATCTCTTATGAATTAGTTGCGATTAATATCAACTCTTTGTAAGACGGGGCCCAGGTAATCCGATTACATTCCTAAAGAAACTGCCGGAAAGTAATTGGAAAGGGTTGATTATGTAATATAATCAACCACTGGTGTATAGGCCTACCATGAGGTTTGTGAATAATAACAATGAGAGGTCAATTTATATAGCACAGCTACTGTATATGAATATACTCTACAGCGATTGAGTATCATAGTAGTACCCCGACTGTAGCTAGGGGTAACTTTTCTAGCCATAAGGGCCGCTATTCATAAGGACCGCTTTTCAAAACGTGCAACTCCCTTTACGTGAAGGACCACTATTCATAATACGAAATGAGGGTCGCTATTTATATTACGAGAAGAGGGTGAATAGCGACCCTCTTCTCATATAATGAATAGCGACCCTCTTCTCGTATTATGAATAGCGGTCCTTATGAATAATGACCCTTTTCTCAAATTATGAATAGCGGTCCCTAAGAATAACGGTCCTTATGAATATTGTAGTCCTTATGTATAGCGAGTGGACCCTGTAGCTGAGTCGCCATAATAAGGCGCTAAGGAATTTCTTCCTTTACCGGGTACCCATTTACATCACCTGGGTGATGCGGCGGGACTCGAACCGCGAGCCATGTGATCCATAGCCTGGTGACGTATCCACTAGAGCACGACACCTCTATCATCGAAATCATCAAAATGAAAAGAAATTTACTGAATATTGCTGAAATTCACATGCATGCACCTTGCACACTAAATTTGGGACTATGCGCATGCTACATCTTATCATTTCGAACGTGAGGGCATTTAAAGAGCCATCATTTTAAAGGTAACAATTCTTCAGAAAGCTCACACATAATGACACTGTCTTGTGTCAGTCTGTTGCATTATTTCTATTTTCATAATTATCTTCGATATAGGCCTATTAAAATTTACTGTTTCGTAGGTTGAGGCTATATTGCATAATATACACGTTTGTATACGTGAGTACAATATCTGTGAGGGTTGGGCTTGTTTTCAACATGGATTTGTGTGCAGACCAAACGAACTGCTCTTACCTATCGTAATAGTGCGATATTCGGAGGGAAATTATAACGGTACCCGTTTCTTTGTATGGAAGTATAAGTACCCATCGTAACACCGGAAGCGATTCATCAGTACTTAAATGCGCAGAGCGCTGGGAGTTATGACTAAGAGAGAGGAAGAAGCACGTACGCATTACTGTTCAAAAGTTCGTTGACATTCTCCGTCGAGTTCAAAATGACATGATTCATTATGGGCTATGTTTTTTATGACTATGTTTTTGTGCTGAACACGCATCATGTCAGGAGTTGAGTTAAAACCATGGACTTTGCAATTGTTATTATGTCAATAAAAGTTTCATTCTATATTACCTGCAAAATAAAAGTCAAGCCAAGGAACTTACGTCCAATTTTAAAGCAAAATGTAGGCCTATACAAGAAAATGTAATATGCGCTATTCCAAAGAATGTGGTCTTTCATTATGGTCCATATACGAATAATACTTTTGACCTTTGAACTTTCTTTTCCTATATTGGACCAATTTCCGGTTTTCCGATGCATTCTATTCCGCTGATGTACATTATACACGTCAAAGTTCAAGAACAGTGGTGTTCACGAAAGCCATTTATACTCCCAAAGACTTACACTTAAACTATATACATTTAAACTTAACGCTTTTCATTTCATGCCTTTAAACCAAAATAATTTTCTATACTTTGTGGCTGTTATGATTAATATCTTTCTGATTATATGTATTATAAGTTTGGTCGCCCAAACAGGTTCCTTTCTTGTGGCCATTAAGTTGAAGCTGTAGCTTAAAATGGCGGTCACCTGCATTTTTCAATTTTGAAATGATATTTAGAAACTATGTCCATTATCACATGAATTTGCGACTTAAGGAGCTACGCCGAATTCACATTCGCATGCGCTTGGACTAAAATAATTTTCGACTCACTATATGATTTTGGGAATCATCAAAATGGTGGCATATTTACTCAGTCTTGGTGATACACGTACACATTGGCAGGTGTTGTACATACATTTTATATGGGACCACGTCTTAAAATTGAGTGCAAAACTATTCCAGTTGTATTCTTTTGATATACACATATGGGGACATTAAAGGAGAAATTATCTCCATGTGATATTGGTACCCTGGATCCTTGTAAGAATAAAAAGGGTGAAAAACGTCACAAATTATTAGTTCGTTTTACTTTTATCAGAAGTTGGCTGCTCTTGATTTAAATTTCCTGTCGCTACGCAAAAAAACACACCGTATACCGGACATGGACATTTGGGAAGGAAGCATTAGTTTATTTTGATGAAGTTGGCTCCTTTTAATTGTTCTCTAGTTCGCACGTTTGTTTGATGAATATGCACAGAGGGCTTACATTCAATTTAAATGTCTTTTTCTTTTTCAAAAGAAATATATCACTCAGTCTAGGTAACCTGTCTATCTTCAGGAGTGTACAAAATTCAAGCCGGCGTGCACCCCTCCCCATCAGTTGCAGGCGTCCGGCGAAGAAAAAAAAAAAGATATCATGACTGCCGAGAATCGTATTACGGGCAATAGGTCTTCAGAGTCTATAAAAATGTCTAAGCCCTAAATACTATGTGTAAAAACTAATGTAATTTGATTAAATCAACTGGATGAGGAAAATATAATCTGTATTAAAAAATAGAGATATATGGGTGCCGAGAATCGTGTTACTGGCAATAAGCCTTCAGAGTCCATAAAAATGTTTAAGCCCTAAATAATATGTGTAAAAAGTAATGTAATTTTATTAAATCAACTGGATGAGATAAATTTAATCTGTATTTAGTTTCATTTTCATTCTTTCTTCTCACTGCCATCCTGTTTGTGGAAATCACTGCTAAGGTCGCAAAAGCTGTCTTCACTACTACTGACCAGTAAATCAACAGTAAATGGGATCTTAGCCTATCATAAATTATCTTTTAAAAACCATCATGCTATCAAGAAACGGCGATGGCCATGTCGTGCTGAGAAACTGTACATTATTCTTGCTCAAAACCTCTAACATACGGTTTAGTTGGGAATTGTTTATATTACTTGGCAAGAATACTTTTAATCTCTCAAAATAGCTCCAGTTATTTCCGGGTCTGAGCAGGGAGATGGGAGGTTTCCTTTAAAGGGAGTTTGTAACATTGTTCAGATGAGAGAAAAGGGTGCTAAGGTAGTGACTTCAATGCTAGATGTACAATTAAAGATAATCTAAAAGTTTGAGTGAAAACAGACCATAAAAAGTGATAACAATTGAGGAACACTGATCTGATCGATTCCTTAATCCTCTCAACTATATATATATATATATATATTATTACAATTTAATTACATTTTAGGTGAATGTAAATGGTCACGAAGCAATGAATTGGCTCTATATCATTCTAGACATTTAAATGTAGAAGATTTTTAAAAGCTCTTATTTGCATTAAAAAACGGCTGGGAGAATTTACTGTCAATAGAGGGTGTGGCACTGTGACGCCTTCAAAGAAAACCATGAATATCTTTGAAGTTTGATAATTTTTTTCAGGATTTTTTAGAATGTTAGAGGGTTAATACAGTAGAAGGAATATAATAAGTAATATTTCATACAATCTTTTTTAAATCAACCTTCAACAGTGTTACCGAGTCACCTTAAACTATGTTTTTCGATGTAGATGATGCAGTCCAAATTTCAATAAAATCAATATGTTTATTTATTCTTAACGAAATTGTTTGGAGTAAGCTCATTTTCGAATAAAACAACCGAAAGCGTTGTTTTAGATTTTAGATAGAAAGTGGCCAAGGGTATTGAATTTGTCTTAGATTGATTTTTCGAAAATCTTTGCGACCGGATTTTACGCAATCAGCTTTAATATACACTGTCACTCATAACGTTGGATTTTTTTTTTGTTTACCCCAATTTATAGAATTATTTTGATAATGATTTATTCCTGATAGATCTAGATATTAGTATACATTCTCAGATTTTATTGAATAATAATTTGCAAGTGTTTGTTTTTAAATTGTGCTAAAGACGAATGGCAACTTGTTTATGCGTTTGTAAAATATTAACATTTGTCCAGCCTTTGTTGGTGGTAAACATCTTTGTGGATTGATGATTGATACACACTAATGTGAAATAAATATTTATGATCATAAAAACTGTCACGAAATCAACTTCAGGCCAAATTCAATACCCTCTTTTATTGCCTTTAGGTCATGTGGTCATTACGTAATGTGTCATTGTAAAGTCCGCACAATGATTTCCAAAAAGTGATGAATGAGGTGTTTGAAAATATCAAATTTAGTTTGCTCGAAAAATCATTGCGATAATATATTAATGACATTAATGATGATGTCTTTTAGTTAACGGAAAGCAACTGGAAAACTAATTAGAAAAATATAATTACAATAGAATTGTGAAAATTCCGACGTTCAGAGAGGATACGTGAACATGAGATTCGGTGTAAGATCATACCACTTACCTCACTTAAGGGTTGTTTTGGACGAGTAGTAAGCCCCCCTACTGTAACAACATTTGGATATAAGGGAAATGGATAATCCACCGAGAAGTCAGAGTTTATAAGAATGAGTTGAGCATTTGACACGAGGTTACGAACTGACTTCGTGATGTTATAACGCATGCTCAGTAGAAAAGAAAGAGCGTCGTACTCGAAGAAGATCGCGATGTCGGCTACGAGGCCGCTGACGGTGTTGGAGACACGCTGCGAGAAAGTCATGCGGTACGACAACCCCGTCGACATTTCGGGATAGTAAGAGGTGGTGTCCGGGATCCCATGACGTCGAGCTAGGCTAGGTTTAATGCCACTTGGAATGAGAAGAACGTAGGGAATTGCTAGTCGACTTGCAAGAAAGACTGAACAGGAACTGTGTCCATCCAACAAGACCAGATCATAGTGGTGCTCTTTCTTTTCAAAATGATTGATCATGTCCTTGCAACTTTCGATGGAGGAATAGAGATTCGGTGGCATCCATTTAAAAAATCGGGTAAATCCAGATGACTTTTTATCCATAAGATGCTTGGTAAATGCGTCCGAATATTTCCTAGTGGCTTCTCCATTGCTATCGTGAAAGGCTTCGATTTGGAGGTGTTCAAGGCGCGGGTCGTTTGCCTTCTCGGCATAGGCATCGCTAATGAACGCTGTGACTGTATGACCTCGGTCGACCAGGGCATGCCCGACAGTCGAAAAAACTGAGAAATGGCTGCCGAAGTTTGTTCCCGTCGTCAGTAAGATACGAGCTTCGTACGATAATCTACATTGTAAAAGACAAGCGAGGAGAAAAAAGCCGAGAGAGCGGGTAGGCATGTTCGTTTGTAGGACGAATTCTCGTCTGGCTACTGAGGATATAAGATCTATGAGAGAAGGCGAACGTGATGACAGAGGAAATTTGAATTAGTGTACTCAGTGCGTTCTTTACTGCATGCGGGTCTTACGAGACAACAGTATCGTCTGTATAGGATACGGGGCCTAATTTTGTATTTCCCATATTTTATATTCGAGGTGATATTGATACTGAAAGTGAACAAAGGGCAATTTACTTGCTTCTCATTGGGTGTATTTTTATTGGAGTATTTATATATCATATTATATTTATCTTTTCAAAGTCTGATTTTTCGCACGATCGACAGCCAGGCGCGGATCCAGGATTTCTTAGGGGAGGGGGCCCAACTTTTTTTTTTTTTGCTCCCGAAAATTTGAAAATCGCGCCGGCCGAAAATTCGCTCAGTGGGGGGGGGGGGGGGGGAGGGGGGGGGGGGGGGAGGGGGGGGGGGGGGTAAGCGGACACTTTTCTTTTTTTTTTGGAGTCCAAAAAAAAAACGACTGAGCCTGCGGAAAAGTCGCTCAGTGGGGGGGGGGGGGGGGGTAGTGAGCACATTTTTACCTTTTTTGGGGGTTGGGCCACACCCCCCTGGCGCTCAAGGGGAGGGGGGGGGGGGGGCCAACCCCCCAAAAAGGTAAAAATCGCGTGATTTTGCATGATTTTTTTCTCAAGGGGGGGGGGGGGGGTGGCGAAACGGTTTTTTATTTCTCCCCAATAAATGCCACCATAAATCCAAGAGACGGCTACGAACGCTTTTGACAGAGTCGATGCTTGCGCGCCCTCATATATCCCAGGGATTGTACATCCCTTTGATGCATACATTATATAGATCAATGTGATTATTTAGTATATCGTACAAAAGGAAACGTTTTGGGAAGAAAAAAATATGGATCACAACATACATTTTTGTAAGCATTTAAAATGATTTACCGTTACTGCATCAAGTTACCCCCTACAAAGTACTCTAAAAAGCATATAAGAGATATATAAAGCTTCTATATACTCTTTGTACTCGATTTATTGGCCATGGATTAATTATCAGCGAAGCATGTGTTCTCCAACACTAGATTCCCAAGCACACATACAGCGTCTTGCATTTCAAAATGAATCGCCAGATCGAGAAAAAAAAAAATGATTATTATAATACACAAAATAAAACAGAGGTCCTATCGGGTATGGCGCTATAGACCCTATTGAATAGGACGTGCATGATGATTATCCCTAGCTAAAACAAAGTTGTAACTTCTAGCAAAGCGCGCGTAGATGAGAGGAAACGGGATATATATTTTTCTCACCGTTGAGGGGGCTGGAGTGAACTTATCATACAGTGCCATTGATCAGGGCCTTCTTGCATACAAAGTTGAGTTTAATCGCAACTCAAAAAAATCAAACGCAAGTCCCAAATACGCGATCCTGATTGGTAACTGCAAGGAAAAGGCGCTATATCAAATATCTTTTGGATTGGATTGGATTGGATTAAATATCAAGTTGCGTTAAATTTTTTGAAACTTAACTTGTGTATGCAAGAGGGGTAAGAGGATACTTTTTTTTTTTGGTCTCGAAATTTTGAAATTTGACATTTGTTTTCGTTGGGGGGGGGGGGGGGGGGGGGGGGTAAGGTCACCTTTTTTAGGTCAGCCATGGGCATATTTTTTTTTTTTTTTTTTTGTGTGTGTGTGCAGGCCAATTGAAGAGGAACTCGCAAGATACCTCACAGTGTTGCCAATTTGTGATTGATTGCTCGCAACTACAAAGATTTATAACATTCTTATTTTTAATCGAACTTTCTCCGTCATGTCCTCTTGTTTTTCTGTTTCTATTAAAACCAGATTAATATCAGGGTTTACTTTCCCTTTAAAGGTAATACAAAGTTTCGGGAAAATTTGAAAATTGGCTGGATAGGGAATCCTTACAATTTTGATAAATTTGGATGACCCTGTGGATGTGCTATGACCACTAGAAGATTTGAATTTTGAAAATTGAATATAAAAATTTACCGGTGCTCCCGGTAAATGTTGATAAATTCCAAATAGCGCTTACAGCCATACAATAGTAGCTGTGACCATGAAAATCTCAGAATATGTAGATGTGGTATAAATTTCCAAACGGGGATAGCCAATCGGTCGATTTTAGTCAAGAAAAAAATGTTTTATGGCTTAATTAATATCTTGACCTTGAGAGGGAGCTGTACAACATAAAGAGTTTATTATTTACAATTTCATAACTTAAGACTCGATTTCAACCGCGACAACGATTACTGAATATTGTAGGATCGCATATGCTTCCAATATGTTCATTTGAACCAATTTCATGACCCCATACCAAAACTTTGTATTACCTTTAAAATGTGTAATAGAAAAAGGAAAGAGCCGAATAGTGACCCTTGTGGAACACCACATTTGATCGATAGGACATTTGAAGAAACACCGTTATATACTACATTATGTTCAAGATGATATCGACTAAGAGCTCATGTTTTCTTGACTTTTTCGTTACCATGACAATAAATTGCAAAATAAAATACGTTAAGGTGAAATATTCATAGCATGCATGTTTTTGTCCTTCAGTTGTTTTTCAAGAGGTGACATTTTTTCAAAGCATATATTTTAAAGCCTGTTAAATGGAAGATGATATGGACTAAAAGCACGTTTTATTTCCTTATAGTTAAAAAATGATTAAGACGGCAATATGAAAACAACCGTAGACATGCAACAGGAGAATCGGTAAAAGTTTGAATTCCAAGAATACATCCATTACCAAAGATGGAAACAAGGCGCTTACAATTATTAACAAAACATTTGACCACCTTGTAAAAGCTCGAAGATAAACATTACAGGCAATCAGGGGCGTCGCCAGACCTTTTTCAGTGGGAGGGGGGGGGGGTGTAGAGGCCAACGATTACCGACAAAACTAGCCACCAATTACCGACAAAATTAAATGTCCAATATCTACAATTTCAACCCTATTAACCTGGGGCCGAAGGCTAAATTGTTTTTCCTATGGACTATCTATAGTACTTGCATATGGGCAAAATAGTCATTTTCCTCGACGACATAAATATACGAATTCTTTCTTCAATTTAGTCAGCATCATAGCTATATATTTTAATGCAGAGGCGGAGCTAGGATCTTATTTTAGGGAGGGGCGGTAGTGAGCAAGAGAATCACTTAAAAGCGCGCTCATTAGGGGGGTGTGGGTGATGCAAGCTTAAACGTTTCCTTAAATTATTAGGAACATAAGACAATTAATTGTACCGTTTTCGACTGGTAATCCTTGGCTGAATGAAGTTCCCCCCCCCCTCCCGCGCAAAGCGCGAAAGCTTTGACGTTTCATTAAATTATGAGAAAAAGCAGACGATTCGGTGTACTGTTCTCGACTCTTAATCCTTATCTGAATGAAGCTTCCCCCGGAAGTTCTGACGTTTCATTAAATTGTTAGAGAAAGAAGACGATTCGTCGTACTGTTTTCGACTCTCAATAAGCCCTATTAATTTTGTCTGAATTCAGTTTCCCCCTCTCGCGCAAAGCACGGAAGCTTTGACGTTTCCTTAAATTATTAGAGAAAGAAGACGATTTGTTGTACCGTTCTCGACTCGTCTGAATGAAGTTTTCCCCTTCCGCGCAGAGTTTTTGGCGTTTTATTACAATATAGAGAAAGGAAGACGATTCCTCGTACTGTTTTCGAATCTTATCATTAAGCCCTATTCATCTGAATTCAGTTTCTCCCTCTCGCGCGAAGCGCGAAAGCTTTGACGTTTCCTTAAATTTTTAGAGAAAGAACACGATTCGTTGTACCGTTTTTGACTCTAAATAAGCCCTATTAATTTTGTCTGAACTCAGTTTCCCCCTCTCGCGCGAAGCGCGGAAGCTTTGACGTTTCCTTAAATTATTACAGAAAGAAGACGATTCATTTTATTGTTCTCGACTCGTCTAAATGAAGTTTCCCCTTTCGCGCGAAGCGCGGAATTTTCGGCGTTTCATCACAATATATAGAAAGGAAGACGATTCGTCGTACCGTTGTTGACTCTTAAACCTTGTTTGAATTTAGTTTCCCCGAAAATTTTAAACCTCTGATTTCTTTTGCTGATATTATAGGAAATTGAAACTTCGAGAAAATACAAGTATTGTAGTTGTAGTCACTCTCGAAATGACTACGGATAAGAAGTCACAGTTCGTAGGGAAAAAACTTGTCGGCCGACCGACAATACATCTCATCGCCTTAAAACTTCTGCATTGATATAGTACACGAGGATCGAGCAAGAATACCGACACAGCTGACCAAACAAAGCAACATATTTACCCGTGTCCTTCTTGCTCCCTCGACGAGACGACTCCACCCAACAACCCCCCTCTCTCTCCTCTTTTTCATCTCCCGTTTCTTTTGTTTCCCTTGGCACTCTTTTTTCTTCTTTTTTCCTTTTCGTTCTTTTCATTTCTTTCCTCTCCTCCCTCTTTTTCTTTTTTCTCTTTCTTTCTTCTCTTTTCTTTCCTTTCTTTTCCTTTCTTTCCTTTCTTTTCCTTTCTTTCTTTTCTTTTCCTTTTCTTTTTTTCTTTTCTTTCCCTTTCCCTCCCTTTTTTCCCTCTCTTTTTTCCCCTCTCTTTTGTCCCTCCCCCTTTTCTCTTTTTCCCTTTCTTTTTTTCCCTCCCCCTTTTCTCTTTTTCCCGACGGCAGCGCAATTTTACCGACAATATCCTGATAGATGGGGGGTGTCGCACCCCCCCCCCCTTTGGCGACGCCCCTGCAGGCAATTTCTGTTCTAAAAGTTGTTTTACCTTACATGTCGGGAATTATAAGCCCTTTGTAATCTGTGAAATTACGAATAATATTTCATTGTTAAAACTACGGACAGCATTCTTTGTCGGTAATTCGGGACTACGTACGAATCAATGCATGAAAAAAAAAAAACCTGTGAATGATATATAATCCATTGATAAGGCATGTTTCTACCTCCAACTAATGAAGGTAGCCTTGTGCAGACAATTGTCATTCTTTCTCAATAGAAATCTAAGGCGCTAATGGATAGCTGTTCTTGTTTGATTATGACATTGTTCTTTTTGTCAGCGGAGTAGCGTAGGCTCAGTCAGAGTGGAATAAGGGTCCTTTGGAATGACGGACCTCACGGAGTTGATAAAGTGCGTGGGAGTAAAATAACCGATCACGGGTGGGAGGGGGGAGGGGGTTGGGGGGGGGGGGCGTTGTAGTGAAAAGGGGATCTAATTATGCTCGTCTCCTCTTCCCCCCTTTCCAGTTCCATCCCATTTTATCTCTTTTCCCTTTCTCTCTTCTTTCTTCATATAATAACCAGTGTTATAATAATCAATGATATCAATGACTGCGATATGTATATTTTTGCAGTCATTTCCATATTTTTTTTAGGAGTTCCTTTGTTTTGAGGCTGTTGATGACGCTAGCTCGGATAATGTGACGTAATATAGTTAATTGAGGTGTACTATTGTGGCGCCACTATCTTTCGTGACATAGGCCTACTCATGGGCGAAAGTAGAGGAAATATATATGTATATGCGCTGCCTTGTCGATAATTTTCTCATCTGCTAAAAAGCATCAAACATGTGCCTTACGCTTATGATGATTAATAATAATACTAATAACAAATACGAAACCATTTGATATTGACTATTTCTATATACGAATAACACATGTTCTCACTCACTTCTCTCGTTTGCATTAATGTTCTATCATCTCTCTCTCTCTCTCTTTCTATCATTCTCTTCTTTTTTTTTCTCTCTTTCTTGCTCTCTCTCTCTCTCTCTCTCTTTCTTTTCTCTCTTATTTCGTCTCTCTCTCTCTCTCTCTCCCTCTCTCTTCTCTTTAGAAAAAAAAAGATTGCCTGTAGATTTAGAGATTTATCTATTTTTTTAAATCTTGTTAACCCTCGAAGCCGTATAAGAGTGTTCATATCATCGGCGTGTATGCTAGAGTGGGCGGCGAAGCGTCTTTCAAAGTAGGGGAGCACCTACAAAGGGAAACCTCAAAGTGAACATACACTATTGGTAAATAACCCTACATCGTCAGGATTGCGATTTTAATAACATGGATAACATCAATATTTGTTTCTACCTTTACGCGGTACAAGATGTTGCTTAAAGGGAGTGTATCATGGCAAATACTGGTTAACGCCATCTACGTTTTCTTTTAGACAACTGCACGTAAACGAATGGACATGGTTAACTGGGTCATATGGTCATATTGGATCTTATTTCGTCTCTCTCTCTCTCTCCCTCTCTCTTCTCTTTAGAAAAAAAGAAAGATTGCCTGTAGATTTAGAGATTTATCCTTTTTTTTTTTTTATCTTGTTAACCCTCGAAGCCGTATAAGAGTGTTCATAACATTGGCGTGTATGCTAGAGTGGGCGGCGGAGCGTCTTTCAAAGTAGGGGAGCACCTACAAAGGGAAACCTCAAAGTGAACATACACTATTGGTAAATAACCCTACATCGTCAGGATTGCGATTCTAATAACATGGATAACATCAATATTTGTTTCTACCTTTACGCGGTACAAGATGTTGCTTAAAGGGAGTGTATCATGGCAAATACTGGTTAACGCCATCTACGTTTTCTTTTAGACAACTGCACGTAAACGAATGGACATGGTTAACTGGGTCAGCGCGCGCTAAACTGGGTGAAAAGTGGCATTTAAGAGAAAGTGAAGGGGTTCTATATTACAAAGGAAAAAGGGCACTTATCAGAAGGAAAAAGTGCACTTCATAAATAGGGAAAAGGGGCACGTATCAAAGTTTAAAAAAGGCAAAAACTTAAGAGGTGAAAAGGGGAATTTCTTGCAGGGCACCCGAGAAGAGGCACTCATCAGATATGAAAATGGGCACTTTAATATGAGAATGGAAAAGGGGCACTTATTATAAAGTAAAAGGGGCATCTATCAGATGTTGATAGTGGTAATTAGTGGGGGTGAAAAGGGGGCATTTATGAGAGGGAAAAGGGACATTTATGAGAAGGAAAATGGGCATTTTTAAGAAAGGAAAAGGGGCACGTATCAAAATAAACTGGGGACTTATCAGAGGTGAACAGGGGCACTCATCACAGAAGAAAAGGCGCACTTATCAGAAGAGTAAGGGGGCAATTATCACAAACGAAAAGGGGCACTTGTCAAAGTAAAACGTGTACCTTTCAGATTTGGATGGGGGCAATAATTATCAAAGGTGAAGGAGGCACTTCTCAAAGGTGGTAAAGGCTGCTTCTTGTACCTAAAAAGGGGCACTTACACGAGATGAAAAGGACACTTATGGGATTGGAAACGGGACACTTATCACAAAAGAAAAGTGGCACTTATCAAATTTTAATAGGCGCATTTATCAGAGGTGAAAAGGGGGAAAGGGACATTTATGAGAAAGTGAAGGGGGTCTTATGAAGGGGAAGGGGGGGGGGGTCACTTATCAAAAGAAAAAGAGGCACTTATTAAAAAGGGAAGGGGGAGTTCTTACAAAGAAAAACGACACTTTCGTGGTTGCTGAAAAAGTGTTCCCCCCCCCCCCTCCCCCAGTTGAGCGCCGCCTCTGTTTGTTCGTACTTATGTCTATCTAATTTAAAAGCTTTACGGATTCATCACATCATGCATTACCCGATTCTAGCTCGACACGTGTAACGGAGGCTGGCGGTGGAGTAAATTAAAAGCGCATATTTTATCGTTAACACAGCCTGATCGACTGGGCAATGACTTCCACGACGACCGCTATCGCCTTGCCATGGGTCGTGCTCGTATCCATTATGAGTTTCTTCGCTTTGGTTGGCAACATCATCGTCATTCTCGTTATCATCCAGGATCGTTACCTGAAGGGCCACAACTACACCTTCGCTCTCGTTTGCAACATGGCCATATCAGATTCCCTGTACGTTGGATTAGCTGTTCCGCTTATAATCGCGAGTGCCTTCACACAGGGCAACTGGGATTTGGGTAAGTTTATTTGTTTATAATAACGAAATGATGATAATAATGATAATAACAATAATATTAATTATGATAATGATATTATCATTATTATCATCATAACCATTACCATAATGATAATCATTATTAGTATTTATTTTTACCCATGGAAGCCTCATCAGCATAAAAGCATAAAAGCTGTTCTTCCTAAGGACGTTACAATTTACGTTTTCCCGCTCAATTTTAGCAGTCTGTTCGTTCATTTATGTTTTGAACGCCTCGGCAAATTTTAATTCGATTGCATTTTCGTTCGTTCAAATTCGTTATTCATGCAACCAACTCTTTAATTGAGTCATTTAAATTTAAATAAGGATCATACAATTTACCGAATAGTCATTCAATTTAATTTTCTCTTGTTCGAATTTGGTATCGGTGCCGAAAATAACCTTCTAGTGAGTCAATTGAATTTATATGAAAAGCATGAGAAGGCGATGGAAATAATTTTCCATCGTTCGACTTCATGATCCATGCAATATTTTTTTTTAACGAATCTTTTACATTTAAACTGGGAGTATACCGTTTAAGAAATGGGCAATCAAAATCATATGCCAATGGCCTCGGCATTTTCTCAGTCGTTCATATTCATGAGAAGGTAGGCATGCTGTAAATAATTTCATTATATTTAAGATGCATCGTACAAGACCAACTATTATAAGCATAAATACAGGCCTTTCATGCTCATTTTCCATCAAATTACGTAATGATCACTTCATACTAATTGCTCCCAAAGGTCCAATATAAATTAGATAAAGGCACTGGCGTACCTGAGGGGGGGGCAAGGGGGCAGAGTGCCCCACCCTTACGGGCTCCAGGGGGAAAAAAGGAAAAGGGGGGAAGGGGAAAGGAAAGAAAAAGAAAAAAGGACAAGGGAAAAAAAGGAAGAAGAGAGAAAAGGAAGAAAGAGGGAAAAGAAAATAAAAGAAAAAAAATGAGGATTTTTTTAAAAGACCATGGCCGTACGCACCGGGGGGGGGGGGGGGGGGGGGGAAGGCAGTTGACCCCAGATATTTTGAAAACGTCCATTTTTTTCCCGAAAATGTTTAACAAAGCTCGCAAGTAGTGAAGGCTTATACCACATCCTTCAATTCTACTTTTGAAAATGCATCATGACCAGTTCGGTCGCTCGAACTCCCTTCATTCCTTTTGCTTTTTAGTTTCTTCAAAAACTTTTCATGCATCTTTCCCCCTCCCCCATCAGAAAAATATTCAGCATACGGCAAAGTGAAAGACAAATGAAAATAGGAAAATATAAGTGATAATTTTAACAAATTCGACACTCTTCGCTGGCGCGAGCTGCTTGCTAGCCTGTTTTGTATTAATTGTTTTCACTTGCTCGTCCCCCTGAAAAAAGGAAAGGATTAGCATCGCCTAGAATACAATTGTGTCTGCCCCGACTGGCCCCAACCTGCAACCATGGCAACCATAACACCCAATTTATGTACCAAATGTTACTAAAAGAGACTAATTCATTTTTTCTCGCTCGCTACGCTCGTTCGCAAATAAATGAAATAGACATCGCTTTGAAAACAATAATTGTCCTTGTTTTCACGAAGTGACGGTAGTGAGGAAAATCGTAACGCAAAGTGAATGCAATTTTTTTCACTACCGTCACTTCGTGAAAACAGCGACGAATTGTGCCCACCCTTGACCTGCAACAATATCATTAAAAATGAAAGTGTTATTTCGCCCTCTCGCCAGAAAGGAATTGATATTGTGTTAAACGCGATTGCGCCCATCCCGACCTGGACCAATAAAAACAAGTTTATGTATTAATTTCTATTAAAAGAGAATTGATTTTGTTTGCATCGCTATGCTCGCTCACCATAAAATATGTGCGCCCCCTTGCCTGAAACGAAAATCCCAGTAAATAAGTACCGAACGTTATTTTGAGAGATATTGTTTCCTCGCTCGCCAGAATTGATGAATTGAATGATTTTAGTGATTGATATATGAGTTGATTTGTTTTTTGTTTTACCCTCTCTTGCTACGCTGTCTTTACAAATAACATGCTCACCCCAACCTACAACAAATTACCAGTTGATAATTATGTACCAGACGTTAATCAAGGAAAATTTGGTTTGCTCGCTAGCTACGCTCCCTCGCCAATATGGAATAAACATCACCTTAAAGGCATCGTTTAACAATGTTAAATCTGAGATACACGGCCCTACGTGTTATCAGTGTCTGTGATATGGTGTAATATTGCAGCCCTAAAAAATTGCGCTTCAAAATGATCAAGAAGTGCCTCAAAAAAGTAAAAATCTTTGAGTGACCGGTTTTACCATACTCGTTTACCCCAATAGACTGTAGTGTTATGAAAACCGTCAGGCGAACGGTTTTCAAAATTTGTAATTCCAATCATAAATATCTTGATAATCATACAGGCGATCGGCTTGTAAAAGTCATGCGGTTCCTGACTGACCCAAAGGTTTATAATTATCATTGCATCATGAGCTAAATCCAGAATTTTATTTCAAAATCTGAGACAAAGTTACCGGATCCCTTTAAACATGATTGTGTAAGCCCCGACCTGCAACAAAAAACCTGAAAATTATGCACCAATCATCATTAATTTTGTTTTGCCTGCCCACCAAAATGGGATTGACATTGGCTTAATCACGATTGTACCCACCCCCGACCTGCAACAATGAAACAAAGTTTATGTACCAAATTAATTGGTAATTATTAAAAAAAGAAGCGATTTTTTTTCTTGCTCGCTACGCTTGCTCGCCAAAATGAAATTAACATCGCTAACGTGCCCGCCCTAACCTGCAACAACTAGTTAATATATTATTTACCAAACATTATTCAAAGAAGTTTTGGTGTGCTCGCTCGCCAAAGCGGAATTAACATCACCTTAGACATGATTGTGTAAGCCCTGTCCTGCAACAAAAAAACCCTGAAATTTATGAACCAACTATCATTACAAAAATTTTGCTCGCTCGCTACGCTCGCTCGCCTAAATAGAAATAACATCGCTTTGAATAATTACGTCCCTGACATGGATCAATGAAATCAAGTTTATGTACCATGTTCTCACCATAGAGAAGTGATTTTTTTCGCTAGCTCCTGGAATTATGTGCCCACCACTGACCTGCTATACAATATCATTAAAAAGAGGAATGTAGGGGGGGGGGGGTTGCCTGCCCACCAAAATGGGATTGAAATTGCCTTAAACACGATTGTGCCCGCCCCGAATTGCAACAATGAAACAAGTTTTATATAGCAATTCATTAAGAGAAAGGTGTATTTTCGCTCGCTAGCTAAAATGGGTATAAAATCACCCTAAACACAATATTGTTCCCGCACCCGGCATGGGACACTTGGACCAAGTTTAAGTGGTAATTATTAAAAAAGAAAGTATTTTTTTCTTCTTCGCTAGGCTCGCTTGCAAACAAATGAATGTGCCCACCCCAGACTTGCAACGATACCGGTTTCTATACCAAACGTAACTTAAATATATTTTTTTGCCCGCTCGCTCGCCAGAAGTGAAAATTAGCATCGCCTTTTTTGTTTTGTTTCGATCGCTTGCCCCCCCCCCCCCCCCTGACGGAAGAAAACAAACATGTACCTTTTACATGTCAGTAATAGACATAAAAATACGAAAACATGCGAAAAATGTTACACATTGGTTTAAAACTAACCCTCTAAAATGTTATTCTTGTAAGAACACTAATGAAATCAAGCAAAGAATAGACAATCATACTGTCATTGTACACATCATAAAAAGGTGAAAGTTTTGTTTTAATTTGATGGCTTTGTATATGAATTAACAAGAAATCACAGACAAAAATAGAGGATGTACATGATATTTGGCACATCAAGCTTACACACAAACACACACACACACACACACAAAGACATTGTATAGATGTCGAGATAGAGGCAAGAAACACAAACAAACACACACACACACACACACACACTTTTTAATGTTTTATAGTAATTTTGTTTTATTCCTCCAAATGTAATACAAACAAAAACAACATATACAATTGAATAAAATGAATAAACGTCTTCAATATTAATTTCTTAATTTCTTAATTTCTTAATTTCTTAAATACATAAACATATCAAACAAAAAATCATCGGCAGTATACATAACTGAGCAACAAAGTAAAAATAAAGTACATAAACATAATTTATAAGTCAATTGTACAAGTTATTCACTGATATAAACAAAAAAATGGAGGTTATTTTACTTGTACAAAATCGTGATTCTCCCTGCCCCCCCTCTCTCACACAGACACACACCCACACTACTCACTCAGTGGATGTCTGCTAACATTCTCAACTCAAGCAAAATATACAAAATAAGTAAGTTATTTAACCAGGCTGCAAAATGGAGTTACACTTTAACAAGCTCACGGTGGAGAGGAAACAAATCTTATTTAACACTAAGCTACTTCCACTTAAAAAAAATGTAATTCCAGCTTTCCCATTTTTATTCGATTTTAACAACTGTTCAAAACATTGCGTTTTTTTCTACTCCATCTTCAAACCAAGCAGCTCTAGATCTCATCTAAATGCCCTGTCGAGAAGAATCATACACTTTATTTAATTTATCCCTTTTCTCCTCAATTCAACCAACTATATATTTAGTTGGTCTTACTGCCTCTTCGCTTTCTAAATCCTTAATTTGTTTCTCAACAGTGTTATTTCAACCCTCCTAATGCCTAGGTCACATATAAACCGGGCCCCGTGCGATTTTCCCTACCCGGCGGCTTGCCGTGGAATTAGAGACCGTACGGGACCCGTCCGATTTTCATTTCTACGGCATCTGTGGTCACATATTCTGCGGCACCCGGGAGGTGCCCGGAGAAAAACGGTCGAGTGAAATGCAAGGGTGCCGGCTGGTAACCTTACGGGCTCCGTCCGATGAGCAGGTGTACCGATGGCTCCCGGAAGGTGCCCTGCCGGGGCCCGGCCGGGGTCCTCAAGGCGCCCGGCCGGGTGCCGTGCGGTGCACTGAACTACAGAGTGAGTCAGAAAAAATGTCCCACTTTTTAAAAGTTGTATTGTTTGAAGTATGAATATTTAATCATGGGTTTCATGATATATCTTGATAGAGTTATCCTCCCAGTACATTTAGGTACCATTTTTATTTGAATCCCTGCATGCATCACTGAATATCAAACACTGCCAGATCTCACTTTACATAAAACAGTGCATTGAACAAAGACAGTCAGACACGTGCACACACCCACTTTTTGTTACCCCTTTTCTGATTGAGCATTGATTTTTATCAAGATCGCTGAATGTTTAAGTGGCATAACCCTAAAAATCTTTCCCTTTTGAACACATTCATTACCACCATCATGTCATCATTTTCATCATCTTAATCTTCATCATCATCATCATCATCATCATCGCATCATCATCATCATCATCAAGCACAACATCCGCCAATACGCACCAAGAGGACAGCGGCTACTCAACTTTTCGTACGATAAGAAGAATTCCCGACAAAAAGTAACAGTTTGGGTGGGCCTTGTCGGGAATGAAATGCTCATTTGTGGGCGTGTGCCTGTGCATGTGCGTATATATATATATATATATATATATATATATATATATATGTGTGTGTGTGTTTGTGTGTTTGTTTGTTTCTGTCTGTCTGGCTAATTGGATAATTGAAGATTTTTTGTTTTGTTCAAAACATTAATTTATTCCTCACCTAGCAACTTGGCACAAGTGAGATCTGTCAGTCTTGTAAAGATTGTCTGATGTTCAGTCATGCATGCAGAGATTCAAATGAAAATGGTACCTAAATGTACTGGGAGGATCACTCTATCAAGACATATCATAAAACTCATGATTAAATATTCATACTTCAAACAATACAACTTTTAAAAAGTGGGATATTTTCTAACTCACTCTGTATGTGTCCTCTGGTTTCCGCACCTCCTGTATTTAAAACTGCGTTGTATATTTCGAGATGCCGCCGTGAGGGACCCGCACGGGCAAAATTCATTTTAAATGGCCCCCGGACGGCAGACGCCTGTTGTTGTGCATATCACCCGGGGCTCTTGAGGGGCCCGTGAGTGCGCCGTAGGGTACACGTACGGAACCCTTGAGCACCGCAAGGCGCCTGTAAATATTTTTAATGAAAGTTAAAGACAAAATTCGTGAGGGGCCGTCCGGGCACCGTCAGCAAATGCGTGGTGCTTATTAGCAATTTTCGAAATATTTTACCCCTTCTTTTACAAATCCTGGAAAGACTGCGCCGCCCCCTTTACCTCCCACTTGCAAACCCGGCGAAAATGATCCTTGGTGTTTATCTTTTTTCCCCATTTTTTATTGATTCTCGTCAACCTTACAAAGGTCGAAACTTATCTATTTTTTTTCCCTGTTATTTGTATTAATAGTTTTGCTTGAGGGATTTCAAATTATGTCAGATGCATAACTATGTTTTCGGATTTAAAAAAAAAATCAATCAAAAAAAGCTCAACATCTTTACGCTGTCATCATCCAGACACAGAAAGAAGTGATGGGGTAGGAAAATATGAGATATAGAAAGGGTACTGATTTTCTCACAAATCATAATTATTGAATTATTTCGGTGAAAATAGAATGCTTAGGAATGAGTAGAATATACATAATTATGGCGTGGGCACCTCGCCACCTTTGTAAGCAGGTCGCACTGCCTCAGAAGAAAAAACTTTTCCTACGTTTGAACAAAATTATCATATAGATGAGATTGTCAGCCAAGCAAGCATTATTGTTTCTTGACATCAGGGCCCCGTCTTAAAGAGAGCTGTGATTGATCCAAATCAATCGCAAGTCCTGTAATCTAGGGCAAGTTTGCAGTCCCTTATCTTTTATGTACATAGTTGCGATTGATATCAACCCTTTTTCAAAAGAGAGAAGATTTCCAGGGGGGAAAAATGATCAAAATCTGGACTGTTTCATCATCCAATCAAGATATACTAAAAAAATTGAAGATAATTCGATCTAGGTAGCCTCTATTCAGTTTTCATTTTGAGTTCAGTCATTTCTTTATAGAACATCTTCGTCTTCAAATATACAGGCCACTCCATCTTTTAGATTTTTTTTGCTGGCTCTCATAATATTTCTCTATTACTTCCTATATCGTGCAACCCGATTTCTTTTGGGCAAACACTATCAAATACACAGAAGTTATCAATTGACGAAGTTCATCATTTTCCATACAATCTCAAGACCTAAGATGCAAAGACCGGTGGAACGGAGTAAGCCCATGAGTCTATTGATTTCTGGCATTGGTCGTTCATCTGTCATGTCTATTCATAACTCAAAGTTGAAATGTTTAACTTTGAACTACCGTATATTAACTTTGATACAATAAATTCATTTGAGAACCGCTCTTTGGTTTTACATCGCTTTACAGTGAGAGTTAAAAAGCAATGATCAGAAATAAATGTACTATATTAAATGCGAACCGTGGATGTAACTCTCGAACTTTCTAACACGGGACCTGTTCCTCATTTTGCTTGCCCTTTCCAGGTAATGCTGGCTGCAAGCTCATGATGTTTCTGCCCAATTTCTGCATCGCTTCGTCCATCTACACCATGGTTTTCATTGCCCATGACCGCCGTGTCACCATATTGATCAACCAGCCGAGGGTCCACCAGAAAAGCAGGATTTATCTCGATCCTCTACTTGTCTGGTTCCTATCACTGATCATGGCTGCTCCTGCTTTCTACGAGTACTCGGTCTATAAGCGCCCGTTGTTCTCTCTGGGGGATGGGTTGGGAGGAGGCAGCAGCTCCGAAGAGGTTAGGCTCATGATAGTGGTTTTTCTTGGTGTAGTCTTCATTCTCCTGTTCTCCTCCTCTCTCTCCCCTTTTTAATACTTTTGCATTAAAGGTAAAGACCAGTAATGGTCATGCGATTGCATTGTGAAAGAAACGTTGTGGAATCGATCAGAAAAGGTTGATCATCTAGCATCTAGCATCTGCAAGGTTCTGGAATCATCAAAATGATAAGAAATTTGGCCCATTCTTCGTAAAGTTACAAGCACTATACACAGAAAGATGTATATGGGACTACCCTATATCTCTCACAGACCAAGAGAGAAACAAATTTACCAAATATATGAATTAGTAGGCGGTTTCCCGGCAATTTTTTTATCATCATGTATTAGTCAAAACATATTCTTTCACATGATTGGTAATGAGAGCTTCCATTTCATTTTTTGAAATTGGGGCGTTTCCAATACTGGTCTTTACCTTTAACGGTTCTTTTACTTTCTTGACTTATTTTTTCTTTACTTCAAGTTTCATTGTTCTTCTTTTATTTTATTTTTCTCCTTTCGTTTTTCTCATTCTCCTCTGCTATCCACAATCTTCCTTCAAGCTCCCTATGGGGATAAGTCTTTTTCCAGCACGACTTTAATTTTGGCTTTGCATCCTACCCAATCACTTTTAAAATTCACTTTGGCCAAAAAACACTTTATTACTCGGATCTATTTCGCTATGCACATAATCACTGAATATTAAAGAAGGCTATATAACTGACGAGACGGACAATGTTGGTCTCTCATTCCTTTTCAGAATCTTCATAGGGTTTACTTTATCCACTGGTCCACCATCGACATCAAAAATCGTTGTAGAAAAAGACTTAAATGGCTCAGTGGTAGAGCAGCGAAAACCAAGTCGATGCGTTAGTGCCCTTTGGTAAGGCATTAATCCTCATTACCAAGTCCCTCAGAGAGGACATAAAGCTGTTGGTCACCTGGTTTCTTACTTGCAAGCATACATATGCTTTCTTAGCAGTCAGGTAAAAAAACAAACCATCGAACCAAAGCAAACCAAACCTACATGTAAAAGTTGAAGGAACCTATGATCATATTCCATGGCCTTCTTGCATATCGGTGATGCATTAAAGAACTCACGTTCCATGTCATCATTGTCATCTATTGTTTGGTATCGATTTTAATTCAAAGAAGGAAAAAGATGTTGATACTATTTTGAATAATTCACTTTTTACTATTTACAAAAGCTTTGTTGGAAAGAATTTAAAAAGAAAAATCGAACGAGAGACTTCTGCATATTTTTATTTACATATTAAATTTTCGTTTACAGATAAAAGAAAATATTAGAAAACCATGTTTATCCCTAACGGATTGGAGGGATAAACATGGTAATAGCATCTAAAAACTGCTCTGAAAGTATGGTGCAAATCTTATGGTAAACAAGAGCAATACCAACTAAAATCGCCTCTTAAAAGTTTAGAATTGATACTGGCCTCAAGGTGGAGTTATATCGACAAGTGGAGAAGGAAAACAAAAAAAAAACTACAAAATAGTCTGATATTTCAGACCCTTGTACTGGACGGTCGTACAGACTCAATCACTTTAATGCTGGTCATTACAAGAAGCAGGATATTGATGTGTACAAATGCTAATGTGTCCTTCACAGCTCATTTTAATATAAAGTTAACATGTAGCTAATGGCTACCAACTAAAAACTCCTCTTCAAGGCAGCAACTCTCATTTGCACTCCTTTCATCAAATTCCATGGAGTGTATCGTGTATTCTCATGCCAAAGAGCTTTACCCATGCAATATTATATTTTGGGGAGGGTGTGCAAATGAGGGCTACCAACTTTAAAGGTGCTGTGTCTCTTTAGCAGACAGAAAATACAAAGTTGTGTAAATCATGATCTACAGAATTTGTTTTTGCCTGCAAAAGGGAAACACTTCCATTACAGGTAGTGGGCCTCATTTAAACACCCCTTCCCCAATTAGATGATATTCCAAGGCTACCTCTTTGGCATTAGAAAAACCCTGTTCAAATATTAAGAGCAAACTGACCAGTTGTTTAGAAATCATAAGTCAATAGATTTATTTTATTTTTCTGAAATAACAAATTATGCTGAACACAAAAAAAAGAAATCTCCTCGCTTCTCATTTACAATATACTTATCTTTGGCTCAAAAATTTCATCAAGTTTACTTTCATGGCAAAGAACTTCTATCAAGGAATTTTTCTCAAAATTGGAAAGGCATTGCACTCAAATCGTATACTGAGGTTAAAGAGGATGTCATTAAAATTCATTACTGCAAAATTATTTTGAAACGATTGTGTATGAAGACGAATATTGCCGAAGGAATTCAAAACATTTATTTCATTTACTCAACATTAAATTTGTGTATTGGTAAAACAAGAGGCTTGTCGAAGTGAAGGAAGAGCGAAATTCGATCTTGCGTCATAGAAAACATTTGTTTTCAAAATCCTTTACAAATAATAAGAACAATGAAAAACAATTTAAAAATACAAATGCTCCCGGTGCACATGCAGGATATCCTGCAAGCTCGAATTCCGCTCTTCCCCCCACTTCAACAAGCCTCGGCTGTACACATTACGCTTCACTCCTTATGCAGCGTTCCCCCTCCCCCTCTCCTCCTTCTCTTCTAGATTCTCTACTGCCTCTCCTTCATCCATGGCTCCTTCCTCTTCCTTTACACCTCCAATGACGTCCTCCAACATGCTGGTAGCAGCATTATCCTCCTCAATGTCCTTTAAATTAAAAGAGATTTAACAAAAAAAGAGTTATCATCTAACAAACTTTGTCGAGATAAAATCAACTATGTAAAAAAATATGTATAAATTGGGTATGTAAAACAAATTCATTTATACAGATCGATATCTGAAAGATTCGTAACAAGCAACTACACGTTTGCTTGGGTGTGAGCGGGAATCTACCACTTCTGCCCTAAAAGTGTCAGGAACTGCATCCATCCTTTTGTAGGTCATGCTATAATGACCGGCACTAAATCTTCAACAACACCCAAGCTAACGTGTAGTTGCTCGTTACGAATATTTCAGATATTGATCTGCATAAATGGATTTGTTTTACATACCCAATTTATACATATTTTTGTTACATACCGTAGTTGATTTTATCTCGACAAAGTTTGTTAGATGATAACTCTTGTTTTTTTTAATCTCTTTTAATTTAAAGGACATTGAGGAGGATAATGCTGCTACCAGCATGTTGGAGGACATCATTGGAGGTGTAAAGGAAGAGGGAGGGGCCGTGGATGAAGGAGAGGCAGTAGAGAATCTAGAAGAGAAGGAGGAGAGGGGGGGGGGAGACGCTGCACAAGTTGTGAAGCGTAATTGTACAGCCGAGGCTTGTTGAAGTAGGGGAAGAGCGGAATTTGAGCTTGCAGGATATCCTGCATGTGCTCCGGGAGCATTTTTATTTTAAATTGTTTTTCATTGCTCTTATTATTTGTAAAGGATTTTGAAAACAAATGTTTTCTATGACGCAAGATCAAATTTTGCTCTTCCTTCACTTCGACAAGCCTCCTGTTTTACCAATGTTTTACACTCCATGGAATTTGATGAAAGGAGTGCAAATGAGAGTTGCTGCCTTGAAGAGGAGTTTTTAGTTGGTAGCCATTAACTACATGTTAACTTTATATTAAATGAGCTGTGAAGGACATATTAGCATTTGTACACATCAACATCCTGCTTCTTGTAATGGCCAGCATTAAAGTGATTGAGTCTGTACTCGGCACAAAACGACTGTCCAGTACAAGGGTCTAAAATATCAGACTATTTTGTAGTTTTTGTTTTCCTTCTCAACTTGTCGATATAATTCCACCTTGAGGCTAGTGTCAATTCTAAACTTTTAAGAGGCGATTTTAATTGGAATTGCTCTTCAAACCATGAGATTTGCACCATACTTTCAGAGCAGTTTTTAGATGCTATTACCTCTTGTTTACAATCTTATTTACACACATTTATATTTTCAGCCTACAAAAGGGACTGTTACACTGTAGGTCATTATCAAGCAAAATAAACACTAAGATAATTTAAATAAATACAAAAATTGTGTGGAATTATTTTAAAGTTTTTCCTGTGCATTTACTGATGAGATGTACAACTTTAATCTTTGACAAAGTAGTACATTGTGTTGATTTACCTGTGGACTTGCTGTTTTACTGACATTTTGATGCAATAATCCTTGTCGGAATTTACATTATTGAATGTTTAATAAGATATTTCATTGTGACATTTGTTACTTATATACACCATTTTTATTTTAATACCGATGTAAATTATTCTCAATTGAGTTATATTTACAGCCTTATGCTATAAATATCTGAAATATATCTGTTACATCCATTCAAATTACAAGTGTACTGCATAATACTTTAGTGTCAATTTTTTTCTTGAAATTTAAGTAGTAATAAATAATATGTGAAAGATATGTGAAGACTTTGAATACTTATGAGAGGTAAAAGTCTCTCGTAACTTTATGAGAGACTTTTGACTTAAGAGAGACTTTTATGTGTAGACTTTGCTTTATGAAACAGAAAAGTCTCTCATAACTAAAGTCTCTCATAAGTAGGACACTTAAGAGAGACTTTGGGGTTTATGTCTAGACATAAATTCTTTATGAAACCCCCCCCCCCCCCAGAAATAGAGGCAAATGCTAAAAATGTGAATATGTTTATATGATTATGAAAAAAATAAAGAAGACCGGAAATGGTTATTTTACAAAAACAAAACACAAGAACTCCCGACGTTTCTTAATTTTGCAAATTCAGATGGACCGTCAAATACGCTGGTCAAGTCTGTTCAATACGCCAGATAGGTAATACGAACCACCATTTACGTCTAGGTAGTTAATATAACCATGTACTATTGGATAACAGTTTAGGTGACCTATCTCAACACTAATATATTTTAATTATGTCTGTCAACTTACCATACATTGAATGTAATTTCTATACTGTACTATTCGATCTCTCTATGTAACACAGGTTGATGATGACCTTATAGCGAACACCACAATATTCTATCTGGCTTGTGGCTCACACGACATAGTTGAGTCATTCGAGAAAGTATACGCGAGTATCCTCTTCGTAGTAGCCTACATTCTCCCTCTACTGATCATCAGCATAAACTACATCATCCTCGGCAGGTTCATCATGAAAAGGCGTTTGGTAGTTCCGATTCGAGAAGTGGGGACCAACGACGAAAAGCCAGGCTATCATACTGGTGATGACATACCCATGCAACTGCCCAACGCCAAAGCGGCTTCAACACCAGGACAGAGCATACCAATGAGTCCATTCGATCTCAATGGGTTGCAGCAACCGGAGAACTGCTCAAATGCCACAATACCGGATGAACAGCCTGTTCCCAAAGGCCCTGCCGAGGTCGGCAAAAATCCGGAGACGTTCGTGAAGAAAGTATCTGCCCGAATCATCAAGATGCTGCTTGTCTTGGTGGTCACGTTTGCCATCTCTAGGGCTCCTTACTTCATCATGTTCGTGCGAGAGGTGAGCTCCAGTGTCAGCTGTGTAGAATGGGTCCAGAAATTGAGAGGACGATGGTATGTGGCCAGGGGGAGGGAGCGCACCATTCTTTGTCGGTCTCTCGATGGATGGCATGCAAATTAATAGGGTCATTCATCCACAGGAAGGTGCAGGGGGTGGTAGCATCTCTTTTTACATTTCCTCTTATATTTTTCTTTCCCATCACTTCTTTCTTCGTGTGGATGATGACACTGTAAAGATAAAAGGCTTTTTTTTAATTGAATCGGTATTATTTTCAAATTAACATAATCATCAGAAAAAGATTATCAACGCCAAAAACCCATTTTCTGTTTGATTCAGTCATGTGTCAGTTTATGCTAATTTTCTCGCTTGTGTTTTGTATCTAGGAGATAACAGGAACGGATGATTCAGCGCGTTTCGGTGAAGCCTTTCACGTGGTGAAGCTTCTGGCTTCTGTCTTCATGTGCCTACTCAATCCCCTCATCTATGCAGTGTTCAATAGTCGCATCAGGAAGGGAATCGGTCGACTCTTGTCCCCGAATGTTCCATACTTCAGCAGAAACACTACCACTACCAGCGGTGCCCGTTGAAACCTAAATCCTACCACAGTCTAGGGTCGGTTCCTTCTTGATTGACCCCAGGCTAGCTATACGGTATGACAAGACTTGCGTATGACAGAATAGTGGATAGATCGATCTACTCTCACTATGAACAAGACGGACAAAGAAAGCGGAGAAAATATACAGTTCCTCATTCGACCCTCAACAATTGCTGTGGTAGACAAAGGAACATCCCTTCACTGATATTATGTAAAAATGTGTAGAACAGGTGTCACATGTATATTCACCTGCATCTACACATTTTCACATAAAGGCAGTGAAGGGATGTTTCTTTGTCTACCACAGCAATTGTTGAGGGTAGAATGAGGAACTGTATATTTTGTCCGCTTTCTTTGTCCGTCATGTTCATAGTGTCTACCCCCGTGTACCAGAGCGAATCTTATAAGACATTTCCCTTTCACACGAAAGTCTCTTTTTACTAGTGTAGCGCCATGATGTTCCCCCAGACTGGACCGCGGTATGAAAGAGTACAGGGATGATTTTGGGGGTTTGGGGAGCGTTGAGGGGGGGGGGGGAACGGCCATTTCGAATTTTCGATAGTAGATGTTACTTAAAGGTAAAGACCGGTTATGGTCATGCGATTGCAATGTGAAAGAAACGTTGTGGAATCGATGAGAAAAGGTTAATCATCTAGCATCTAGCATCTGCAAGGTTCTGGAATCATCAAAATGATAAGAAATTTGGCCCGTTTTTCGTAAAGTTACAAGCACTATACACAGAAAGATGTATATGGGACTACCCTATATCTCTCACAGACCATGAGAGAAACAAATTTACCAAATATATGAATTAGTAGGCGGTTTCCCGGCAAATTTGTTATCATCATGTATTAGTCAAAACATATTCTTCACATGATTGGTAATGAGAGCTTCCATTTCACTTTTTGAAATTGGGGAATTTCCAATACTGGTCTTTACCTTTAATATATAAAATGCTTAAGTTTGCATGTAATAGTCAGCTGTACCCTATTAGAGTCAATCAATCAAAACGTATTCACTCACTTGAAGACAAACTCTATGCAAGTTCCGGGAGCATATATTCGCTTACACCAGACCTGGTGGAATGACCACGCTATATGTTTACAAATCCCGCACGCAGCGAAAACTTGTGGCCCATTTGGAACTTGAAAGTGTTCAATCATTGTTCGGATGAAGGATTCGTGATGGTAATTTTTCCTTACGGGGAGGTTCTTTTGATGATGTTGATGATGGACATGCATTAAGTGAGGCCTGTAGGTCGTATGAATGAAGTTCATTTCATGCAGATCAGAAGAATACCCCTGTTTGTCGGGTAAATACTCGTATATAGCATCAAATTGTACATGAGAAACCCTGATCGTGTGTCTTTAAAATAAATTATACTCGTCTTTGATGGTCAATGTCAACTTTACAGCAGACTAAGTTTGCACCTGTTCTTCAAAAGTATTAATACTAATTAAAGGCACAGTGTAGCATTATCTTTTTCTGGTTTCATTAAAGTGTAAGGTCGCTGATTCCTTTTTTTCTTTTGAGGGCTTATTCCAGTAAACCTTTTCCTTCTTTTTTGTTTTATCTTTGAGAGGAAAGACCCAACCAAGTTTTGATAACACATCGATAGTCATGTCTGAAGGTACTTACAACCTAATTTTTGTTTTCGGGATAAGGAAGCCATATCCACCAAATCAAGTTTCCATGATTCATCCATCCCATTCGCAATCACTCCACTCTTTCTAAACTTTTTCGAACAGGATACTGTAAAGTTTAAGTATCATTGCCCGCCTACCGTTATCGTATGTTTTACATGGCAAGGTATGCACTCCATCCTTCTTCACATAACGGTACAACTTTTCAGCTCCTCCAAACCCCGCCCCTTTCCCTCCATAAACCTTGCGCAAGTACTCGTCCGTGATTACCAAATCTACTTCTCACACATGTCCATACAGCAACAACCACTCTCAATAATGACTATTCCCCAAACACCCAAGCCCTTATGAATAGATAACTGTTACAAAAACAACACATAAGGGAAACAAATTACAGTGTAACATAACATTTAAATTCAATGATTTTAACATTCAAAGAGAGAGAGAGAGAGAGAGAGAGCATTTGTGTACAGTGTGATTACTGACGGGGCTACCCTGTTTAAATAAAACGGAATAAATAAATAAATAAATAAGAAACAACAAAAAAACATATATAAAGTTTGGCATCATGAAATATGAATGTAGTACTGCATATTATTGATTTCATTGGATCAACAGTTTCTGTTTGAGGTGTACGAGCACCTTATATCTACTTCGAAGAATTCCATTGCCTCTCCTTACAACGAAGTCCTGTTCACAAGAAATATCTCTTCTAGATTGTACGTTCCCGAGTCAAAGAATGAGAAGAAAACTCCACCTTTCAGCCTGTCCACTGCCTGCTGGAAATAAATATTTGTTGACGTTAGCTTCCCACGGCTTCAGCACACATTCCGGGTGCATGTCCATCTAGGCCAGGTCACACAGAGGGAACGCATGGGGGACACACGGCCAATTGCCATTGCACATCACGATTCCCCTTGTAAGGTTACTATGGCCCTGACAACAGACACAATAATTATAATAATAAAGTGTTGTTGTACAGCGTCTCCATGCGCTAATTGTATTTATCTACACAGCATAATTATGAAGATTCCAGGCTTCTGTTCGGTCAAAATGGCAGATATGAAATTCGCGTCTACTGACTGCTGGGCAGTGTAGCGAAAAATAGTGACCGGGCATAGTCCTACTTGCGCATACAATGCAAGGTTGCAATGACTGCGCGTGAAGTTAACAAAGGATATGTGCAGTGAGAGACGCACAATGCTATTAGAAGGGTTAATTTCCTTTATAAGATGATGACGTAGATCCTAATCAAATGATTAGTTGAAAGCGTACACGTGGCAAGGCATTTATTTTGTCGAACGCGTAATTTGGATAATAACCCCAATTCCAATGACCGGTCATTAGTAAAATCATATTTTAAAACATCATTTATTAAACAAATAAAACATATCTTTTAAAACAAATGATACACATCATTTTGTTCGGGCATTAGTAAGGTTACCCACACTCGGTACCTTCAAAACAGTCTAGTTAGACTGTTCCAAAGGTAGATGTGTGGGTAATTCCGACTAATGGCCTCACTGCTGTGTATTATATGTATATTAACTCTACAAATATATACGCTATAGCATGTTTTGTAAAAATATCTCTTTTTAAGAATTAACACTTGGGAAAAGGTATATAAATTACACTGACTATTTCATGTACGGGTCACGGTTAAAACTAAAGCTCCTCACTGATCTCGGGTCTGCACGATGCCTCTCGAATCCATTTCGGGCACATGCAGTGCAGTTTCGAGATAATATTGGCAATAGTTTTAACACGGCTCCTCGAGGCAGTCAATATTTGTATAATAGAGCCCGTTGCATACGAGGCTTTACATATCGGCCCATATTCATCAACAAATCAAAGAGACGCCTGCACTGTTCATATTGCAATTCCTTTATAAACGATGCCTTTAGATCTACCAAAGCTTTATAATTCTATGAAAGTGTGATTTTGATTTGTAATTGTTATGATCTTTAGCGGATTATTATTATTATATGTTGTTTTAATCGATGATCCTATTTTCTGATCATTAAACAAAAATATTGTAAACATTGAGCAATTAGTCCCTGGACTAAAAATATGAGTTTTTAATCAACCATAGTGAATTGAATTGACCTGAATACCTCCCATTACGCCTCAAAAGGGCACAAATCTATGACGCAAGCCTAGGTCATCAAAATGTCACCCCTTCGTGTGAAACAAGCCGTGTTCACATCCAGGCGCGTAAGAGTACTTTTGTGTGTGTGTGTGGGTGTGTGTGCGTCCAGGATTTAATGAAAAAATTCGCAACGACTCACCCAGCCGATGAAGAAGCGGGGGGGGGGTGGGTAAGGTTACCTTTATTTGGTCACTCATTAGCACTATTTTTTATTTTTTTTAAATATTTTTTAAATTGAGGGGGGGGGGAGGTTCCTCAAAAACATACACACAAACACAAATTGAGGGGGGAAGGGGTTCGACCCCCAAACCCCCACCCTGCGTACGCGCCTGTTCACATCTAACTGCTCCTCCTTCCTGGTAAGCGACATCATTAACTTGAAGTTTACTCTGTCAAGTTGGAGGGAATGTGGCCTTGCTGCAGTTTGATTTGATTAAAAATAATACTTGTCGCATTTGTATCACGCCAAATATACTACGTTTCTAAGCGCTCTACATCGTAATTATTATTACCCCAGTCGTTGGATTCAATTAATAATCCGCACATGGTAGTGCATGCGCTCCAATCCCTGGGGAGTATTGCGGACATGCGCCATTTTAAAAACGCACAAATGCCAATCCAATCACATTAACGGTCGCATCCTACCGGGAAGCGCTACCGGGAACCCATTTAACACCTGGGTGGAGAGTGGAAAATGTAGATTGATGTCTTGCTAAAGGACATTAGTGCCGCGGTAGGACTCAAACCGAGATCTGTGTGATCCACAGTCCATGACATACTTTATTTTTATTTCATAATTCACAGTCAAAATAATGTAATATAGTAATGTGTTTTTCCTTTAAAGGATTAACTTTCTATTATTGATGTGAGCAAGTGATTTAAAAAAGAAAGGAAAAAGAAAAAAATTAATATGATTAGTTGGCTGGACGTTTTCTCTCTGAAGTATAGACGGTATAAGCCTCGGTAAAACAACAGGGAAACAATATCACCGCTTGTCCGCTTGATGTCCATTTCTCTCTTTCTCCTGCCAAAGCCGTAGAGTAACGTCCAATGGCCTTCAGTTGTACTCTTCCTTTATGATTATGGGTGCAGTAGGGTGTTGTTCCCAGGTCAATATGCACTTCCATCTTAAAAGAATTATGTGCATGCATTCACGTTGATTTAATGTATTTGCAATGAAAAAGGGTCCCTAGTTTCCCG